AGATCAATGCAAGCTCTTTGTCTCACTCTGTCTCTCCCTGTCTAGTTCTAGCTCTAGTCTCTATCTTTGCGTGTATGTGCTGAAGGAGTAAATGTTCAGGGTGCATAGGAACATTGATCTCGAGTTGAACTCGCCCCAAAATCCAAGATTATCTACTCTGCGTTCTAGAAACATTATTTGCCTTGCTTGTTTGTTGGCTTGTTGGATTTCACAGATTTTTGATCATTTAAATCCTGCTCAAATTTCGTTGTATATCTTTCATTTTCTGTCAGTGTATTTTCTGTATATGCATATAAGGGGGTTTTCCACTGTCTGATTATTCAATTGCTTTGTAAATCTTTATTTGTACTTATTATGTCAAGTTTTTGATTACATCTAATAAGTTGATTGAATATGTTTTTTTTTTTGCATATAATATTTTTTATATAAACCGTTCATTGTTGAAGAGATAAACTTGACCCGATATCCAGGCGCGTTCACCAATTTCGGCAATAGTATTATTTATATATGTCTGTGCATGGCAGTCTAACCCGAAGAGCTTTGATTATGAAACAGAAAAAATATATATAATATTGAAATATTTTTAGAGCTTCAAAAAGATTAATTCTGCAGCTTAAAAATAAACCATTTTTATATAGATCATTTTAGTATTCATTGCGGGTATGCCACCAACGATTTAGTACAAGTATTCGATTCAGTGGAGATCATAAACCATATACATGTATAGGACTCGCAATCGGATCGAGTACATCGAGTTTGTTGTCATTTATAGTCAACCTAATTATATTTAGAAGAGAAACTGGCGCTCAACAAGCATTCGGCGTTTGCCTAATTAAATGTGCAAACATTTGACAAATTTTCAAGTTTTGATCGGGCATAGTAATGCTATCAGAATCGAAGGTCGCTATAACCACACACACGGCATGCACATTGGCCATAGATCATAAAGCCATGAGTGGATACCAAAATCAATTCGAGTTTTCTAGCAAAACGTTTTGGGGGCAATTAAATAAACAATTTGACAGAAATACATTAAAATGCATGAAAACAAACAAAACGCGCAAATAAATCAAATAAACCAAAGGGCGAGCGTAGCGGGAAGTGTGAGTGTGCCAGGGTGAGGAGGAGGTAGAGGAGGAGGAGGAGCGGATATGTGCGAGGCGGAAGCACAAGTCTAGGCAAGTCAAGTGGCGTTGACCAACGCACAACATTTCCCAAAAAAAAAAAATTAAACAAAAAAATACTCAATTGAGCTACGACCTTAGACAATGCAGGCCTCCCAGACGATGGATGACCCACTGTGTAGTATGGCATACTTACGTATATGGAACTGCAATGCCATCCATTTTATGTTTGTGCAACAAGTGTGAAAAAATGAATACAACAAAAAAACAAACAATTGTAATTTGCATTTGTTATTCTGGCTGCTGTTACTAAATTTATGTGTTTAGTCTATTTGCACGATAGTCTCAACTGTCTAGCTGACCCCATTGGGGCTTATAGGCACCCCTTCCCTGCCAGCCGGAGCCCCATGTCAGAGAGGAGCAGTGCAACAATTATGAAGAGATACCCATTAACGAATCTATATTCGAAGCGTGTATTCCCTTCAAGAATATAATCAAATACATTATGAAAGAATGAAATAATAATATATGATTCTATTTTTGAGCGATCGTTGCTCGTGAATCGATTCAGTAAAAAACAAGTCTATAAAGGATACTTATGGAATTTAATCAGCAGGCGGCGTCAAACTGTGCATTGGCCATGATTTAAGCGGCTTAGATGAAAGCGGCCGGTATAAATCAAACTATTATTAAATATACTATGTGGAGTAATGCGAATGCAAGCACCAACAACTGCCGGGCACACCTAACATTGCCATCATTCCCTTGGCAATTGATAACGCCACTCACGTACATACACATGTACATTACTCGAATCACCAAGCTCATCATTGTATCATTATTATGACAGCAATTCCGCTGGCCATGGACATGGACATGGTATCAAGAGTGCGAATTTTGATTTCAAATTCAGAATTGGAATCGGCTTGCCAAATTTGGTTTTGGGGCGCTGCGCACGAGCCATACGCAGACAGGGACAGGCAGACAGAGAGACAGACAGATATATATATGTTTATAGAGATTGATAGATAGTGTTGCATGGAGTAATTAGTGTTTACCAAACTGACAACGCAATACCCGTGAGCTGCATGCAAATGCGGCACAGAGTCACCCAAAAGTTAGCCAGCAAATTCCAATCGAAGTTGCAATCAACGATGACCATTGCCGACACTACCGGGAATAGATGGATCGTACCCAGTGCTATGCAATTTCCCTATGAGGCCCAAGCCCCACTACAAAAGCCCCTCGCGTTTTCTTTCATTTTTAATAGCCCAACGCGGGCGGTGACGGGGTCGTAAACCCAAATTGCAATCCATATGCCACACAGTAATTGTAGCGGGTGCTTCGCTTTTCTTCTTTTTTTTTTTTGGTGTCGCTGCCGCCTGCTGCCTGCCTGCCTGTTATTGTTGTTGCTGTTGCTGTTGCCCAGGCAGCCATTTAACGAAAATGAAATGAAATTAAATGCAGTTGACCTAAAAATAGCGCAAATAGCCTGGCCAGGCCAACCGCAGAATTTTCGAGCGACCCACTAAACATTACCTACATGCAATATATGAATACATACATACATACAGAGTACACATATGAATGTATGTATGTATGCATGTGTACTGAGTACATGGTTTAATCGCTTAATCTGTTCGATCGCGATAAAGCAATTAACTTGCTGTTATTCATCTAGCATCTAGATACATACCGGATAAGATCTTCACTCAACAGCCAAGCAGCAATAGAATGTTCAGCTACACTTTTTCTACTTGTCGTGTATGGAAATTAACTCATTTCTTTATACTCTAATCTGAACAATTATATTTGGCGTTTACACTCGCAACATCGTTCTATTATTTTCTCTCTTTTAATGCCATCAATATTTTGTTTATCCTTATTATTATTATTATTATGGGGGGGAAACTACACCGCGACCTATTTGATCTATTATGACCCCTTCTGAGCCTATAGCTCTACCATCAGCCCCAGCTCCCGCACGAATGTGAGGATCTCTGTTGGGTTGAGGTGTTCTATGTCACTGCAATACAAAAAATGCACCCATAGGATGCTGCGTCTTCTTCTAGATAAGGCGACACATTCTGCTAGGATGTTCATCTTGGATTCCTCCTGTCCTTACCCTTGTAAAGCGTAGTTTAATTTTATTTTCAAGTTTTAAACGTATTCCACCCAATATAATATATACATATTATTAATCAGCACCACTAGCACAGTCGATATTCTCATTTTAAGTATTTGTTAGAAACCAAAAATGTAGAACATGTAAAACAGAACCACTCTAAATAAATATTGCTTAAAACGAACAAAAACTTAATAATATTTCAAAATTCGCCCAAAACTGTATATGCATGTATCTGAGATCGAACATTATTGTCTCTTTCTAAAGCTTCGTAAAGTTCATATTTGATATAATAAATTTTCATTATGGATCATTATAGATATCGCATCTGCCACTCTGACAATTGATCAATTGTTCTAAGTAAATAGCAAAAAATGGCGCCAAGAATATTTAAACTTATTATGCAGAAAGTATAATTCTAAAAACCAGGTTTTTTTCGAAATTTCTGATTAAATTTTAAGAAAAAAATATGCCTCATTTTCAGGGTGTTTTTTTAATATGTGTACACTCTAAAATTAGCTATGGTTCAAAAGAAACTGATTGTAAATGAGAATCTGATACATATCTTTCAAATTTGATATGCCCAAAATCCATTAAAATATTTTTTAACTATTTGCGCATCTTTACAAAGTTATTCGATTTCATTGATATTGTTTTATAGGGTTATTTAAGCTCTCCTTCTTTGGTGAAACTTTCATAAATCGTGACTGGTCTTTTTGAATGTATATTGGCAATAATAACAATGCTTGCCCGGATCATGTGAGGGCAAAGGAGCTGTTTGATGTTGTACCTCCGATTTAGTGGCCATGTTTTACAGAAAACGCGAATGCAATTAACCCAATTCACAGTCAACAACCTAGGCACTGCACCACCTCCCCGCTGAGGTTGCCAATCACAGCATTCAATTATCGTTATGGGCAGCAGCTGCCCGCAAGAAAATGCCATACATGCCTGTTAGTTGGTTGCAAAGCAGCGCTCTCCCGTCTCCCGTCTCCCGCCTCCCGTCTCCCTCCTCCTGTGTCGTGTGTCGACGTCAACGTCAGCGTCGTTTGCGACGCCTTCGCCGTCTGTGACCCATTTGCTGCACACGCACACAGCAATGGCGAGCAACGCCATGAAGATGCACTCAAAAAAATACAGTTTTTGCGCCTTACTTAAAAACTTACTTTAAGCTACATATTTAATATTTTTTTTTCTGATTTTATACATTTCAGAAATATATATATTTGAAGGCGATTATGAAAAATATTCATAAATCTTCTGATATCTTCTATTTCATATTGTTGATGAAAGGCAAACATTTTCAACTATTTCGTAATTTGAAATTAAAAAGCAAAACAAAAAACGGGCATACTTTGATCTGAGTGTAGAAATAGAGTGTAGAATATGAAAGGGGTTGAGTGGCACGCCCACAAAACATGCAACCGCAACGACAATGACGGCGGCCACATCCTGCCATCAAAGTCGGCCATCAAAGCTGCTGACGTCGCTGTTGCCAATGACGCAGGCAGAGGGAAGGTTGCATAAAGCATTGGGCAGCGGGTAGAAGGGAGAGTGTGCAGCAGATGGGCAACGCCATTATTGATGCCGCATGACGGGGCGTCGATTGTCGACATTGCGGCTCGGCTGTTTAGTTAGCTTTGAGACGCGTGGAAAATCTGTTGCATATTTGCGAGCTGTGCGGCAGAGCAACAGTTGCATACACCATAGATTATTCTAAAAATTCGTATTTTCCTATTGTCCCATTGCAGAACTTGCAGCAGCAGCAACAGTAGCAGCGCAGCTACAGCGGATGCACATAAGATGGTGCACCACAGCAACGATGATGCCATGAACAAAATTCCACTCAAATCGTCCAGTGGACTGGATGACGATGAGAAGAATGGCGGCGAACTGATACAGGACACCGCCGCTGCCGAGGAGGCGCGACGCGAACAGATGTAAGTCTAATTAAATAAGGAGGCTCACTCGAAAATTGCACTGCAAAAAAGAAATTACATAGTTGTATATAGCGAAAAGGAAGTTACATTCGGGCCTGAAATTTGTGCGGAATGTGCCATAAGAAGTCCTATCTGATCTCAAAATATTGATACCCTTTTTTCACTTAAGTCATTCCGATTTGTTTTTTGTGGGAAATAAATTAAAAATTTCTTGCACTTTACAAATTTGCATAAGGTCGAAAGATTGTGAATAAAGTTTTAATAAACTAATAATAGGTGAAAGGAAACCGCGAAAGGTTGCCCGTAAAAATAGCAAAAGTTTTGGGAAATGCGGCAGACAACTAGGAAATAAATGATGCCTACTTTTTTGGGCAGTAAAACTTTGCTTAATGCTGGAAATTAGTGCTGCAATTTTGAAAGATATCAGTTAATTTTGGGTACAGGCATTTGAAATGTTTTGAATATTTAAGAAATGATGTGCATCTTTTTGTGTATTCGCAGGCGTGCGAATGTGTTGGCCTGGATGAAGAAGCTGACAATTGTGTTAATCTGCTTCATTGGCATCGCCCTGATTAGCTATGTGATCATAAGCCTGTGCTTCAGCGGTAAGTGGTAAACGGTACCAATTGACAAAGTGGCCAACAAACATCTACATACATCTCTAACCACTCACTTACAAAATGGCAACTAATATCACGATACACACACACACACACACACACATATAGTACATATATCCACACCACACGATGAACAAATGTTGCACATGAGCTTTGCATGTCTCTTCAGTCACCCGATATACCACAATCCTGCACTCTGGCACCTAGTATTCGTTATGTTAAATTTCTTCTATTGTGGCACCAAAAAATGTATTGACAACAAAACTCTTACACCTTAACTTACTAAATAACAACAACAATAATTGCACCGATAACAACAACAACAACAACAACAACAACAAAAGACTGGCCAAAGTCAACGCCCCTGCGATCCAACAACAGCACAGTTGCAACAGCAGCAACAGCAACAACAGCAACAGCAACAATTGTTGGCAGCAGTACTGCAGCAACAGATGCTGCTGCAGAGGCACCAGAGTCATCGTCAGAGTCCCCTTCACAATCAACAGCACCAGCCACAACAACAGCAGCAACAATAAGAACAACTAGCACAACTATCACACCAACAACAACAACAACAACAACAATAAGAACAAATGAAAGCACAACAACAACTACTACAACAACAACACCACCACCAAGCAATCCAAGCACAAGCCACACATTTATAACATTTACTTCAACAGATGAGCAACCGGAGCACAACGAAAGCACGGAATCAACAACAGCAACAACAGCTGAAGAGATTGCGATTGCTGGACCCGCCATCGCCGCATCCACATCCCCAACAACGCCGCCACCGTCGCCAGCAACAAATGTGGACAACAACAAGGAATTCAGTTCCACGCTGGGCGTCTTCGAGAATGCAGCCGTCTGCTCGGATATGCAGCCATGCAGTCAGATTGGCAGGTAACTAGACAAAGATCTGCACATGTGCAATATATTCATGTGCTTAATGTACAATTAAAACAATCCACAATATATAAAAAAGGCTTCAAGAAATACAAATTGAAGATCAGCGTGTTAAATCGAAATGAATTTTGGCTCTGATTACGATTTCGATTCTGAATTGCAATTGGTAAATTCCCATTACAATTCCGGTTTGAAACACTATAAAATAAAAATTACAAATTAAATGAAATAAAACATTTAAAAATGGTGTACGATTTAACCTTTAGCTCAGCTGTTATATGATATATATTTATTAGCGAAACAGTTTTCTGTGTTTCCTGAAACGTCCAAATTTTTGTTAATTATATTAAATTTGAATCTGTGCAAAAAATCAGAATTACTTATTATATTCACTCCTTCGCAGCGATATATTGGCGCGCAATGGCAGCGCTGTGGATGCAACAATTGCCACAATGCTGTGCAACGGCCTCCTGACCTCACAGAGCATGGGAATTGGCGGCGGCCTCCTGATGAATATCTATGAGCGTGAAACAGGGCAAAGCCACTACATAGACGCCCAAGTTGTAGCACCATATGCATCCAAGCAGAACATGTTTGATGATAATTACAATGCCTCCATCGTCGGACCACTGAGCATTGCGGTGCCCGGCGAGGTGATGGGCTATCATCGGGCGCACCAGAAATTTGGCAAGCTGCCCTGGCAGGACCTCGTGGCACCATCTCTAAAGCTCTGCGAGACGGGCTACCAAATGTCCAAACATCAGGAGAATTCTGTGCGCAGAACGTGGTCCCATATCAAAGATAATCCCCATTATCAGTGAGTACAAGCAATGACCATAAAGTAAAGTAAAGTAATTTTGGACTTAATTAATAAATTAAAATTATTATTATATTGTGTGCTTGATTTTAGAATATTCTTATATAGTATTTCGATTTTTTAAACAATTAAAATTAAAGCACAATGATTTTCGCAGGGTCGTTTTCCTAAATGCTGAAACCGGTGAGCAGCACGTGGAGGGAGCCTTACTGAAGCCACCGGCGAAATTGTGCAACACATATCAACTGCTGTCCGATAATGGACCGATGGACTTCTACAATGGCACTGTGGCCAAAATGCTGGCTGAGGATCTGAACGAGTTGGGCAGTATTATAACGCTAGACGATTTGGCAGCGTACACAGCCGAAATGCGATTATCCATAACATCGACATTGGGAAAGGACACACTCTATGCTGTACCGCCGGTGAGCAGTGGATCTGTCATCTCCCACATACTTAGCATTCTGGAGGGCTATAACTTAACCCGTGCCGATTTGGCCGACGAGGAATCCTATGCCCGCACCATACATCGCATTACCGAGGCACTCAAATTTGGATTCGCCCGTCGCCCCGAGCTTGGCGATCCCCGGTTTATAGATGTGCGCGAACTGGTCAGCCAGCTGAACAATCCCGATTCTGCTGCTGAGCAACGGGCCAAGATCAACGACAGTTATGTCCTCAGTGGTCCCCAAGAATACGGTGCACTGTCTAGCTACGAGGAAGATCCATATGGCACTTCAGCACTCTCAGTGATAGCACCGAATGGCGATGCCGTATCCGTGACCAGCTCCATCAATTACTAGTAAGTACTGCTGGTAAAACCAACTTCTTTACCATTTTATATACTTAACACAAAACATTTGTCCTACAATTTAAATATCAAAAAGAACAAAAAATGTTTGCATTTTACAACTAATTTCTATATATTCGAAAAGTATTTATTCTTGCCCTTAATTTGACATCAAAATTGCATTTCGATTTCTTAACTACTTTTTTTTTAATAAGACTCTTCTGAAAAGTCGAGATGTAAATCTGTGTTTAAAATTAGTTTGCCTAAATCTCTTTTGAAAAATGGTTTTCAGTTTTGGATCCGGCTTGATAGGACCACGCACTGGCATTATATTGAACGATTGCATGGCTGATTTTGCCATGAAGGGCAGTAATCAATTCAAGCTGCCAGCGTCGCCGGCAAACACAATTGAACTGCACAAGCGTCCCATGTCCTCCCAGTCGCCGATGTTATTGACGGATCAGGAGGGCAACGTACGACTGGCAATTGGTGCGGCTGGCGGCAGTAAGATATTGGCAGCTATCGTCGAGGTGGCTGCTCGATATTTGTGGCTCGGCGATGATCTGAAGGCGGCTGTCGATGCGCCGCGCTTCTACAGCCAGCTGTTTCCCGATACACTCGAATATGAGGATGGGAAGTATTCCGAGTCCCTGCTGCAGCTGCTCCAGAAGCGTGGCCACAATCTGCTGCCCTTGAAAACCACCACAGACTCCGTTGTCTGTGCGCTTGCACGTAATGCAACGGCCATCTATGCAAATGCCGATTATCGCAAGCGTGGCGGCGTTGCAGGATTCTAGAGGTGCCTCCTCCACACACACACACACACACACATGTACACACCCAGACACCCACACATGCACACTCTACACTTACACACACACAACCACACACACAACCACACACACAACCACACACACACACAGAGACACTAGCGTATCGCCAAGTGAGATTAGTTCGAGAACACATAAAATGAAGATGAGGAAGCGGAGAGTGAAAGCGAAAGCGGGGAGGAATGAAGGCGAATGCAAAAGCGAATGCGAAAGCGTATGTGGAAGTAAAAGTATTTAAGCTAGCTATCTCTTTTTTACATATATGTATGTATATCGTATGTTATATAAATTTATATGCTACCTACTACTACCTTATACAATAAAAACACAAACTTTTTTTCAACACTTGCCCTGTTTTTCATTACTTCAATAAGTTGTAGTAAAAATTCGCCTTTATAATATTATTTATACTAATATTATTTCTCTTTCCCACTTTTTTGAAAGAGTGTTCTTCCACTTTTAAAAACACATTCATAAGTTCCTTAAACTTACAAATTTAAAAATCACAACTTTGAAAACATTTCTTGTGAGTGATGCTATTATTTTTTCTCAACTTTTGACTGGGCAATTTCTCCTATAGACTTTATGGCGTCATTCTGTCTATTGCATATCTTTGGTCAACTTTATCTGACCCCCCCTTTACTAAGGCCAACAAAAGGATAGAGATCTATATGTACATATGTATATTGAGTCGACAATCATTTATTTCAACAATTTAATATTATGTGGGAATATTCACAACAAATCAATAAACTTGTTTTGTCAATCAAGATGAGCTACATTTATAATCTGTTGTTTTTGTTTCATTGTCTAGCCATTAACCATAATAGTTTAAATATTGTCGAATTAATTTAACATTATGCAAGTGTTCATTTTGCCTACAAATTACACTCAAAGTCTTGCTTCTCATTCAACACCCCGACCCTCCGTCAAAAAAAAAAAAGAGATCAGTATAAATGTACATAAATAGAAAATGCCGAACCCATTCACTATTGGCAGTAATTGGTTTAGTCAATGTTTGTTTTTTCGTGTCAGTAATCGTCTTGTCACATCGGTTTCCCATAGACCAAAACCTTGGCACGCACCGTCTTGCATCCGGAGATGTGAACATTGGACGTGCTGACAATTTCTTTAACATAACGCTCCTCCAAGTGTAGGTCTATCACTCGTGCCTCGTGTCGCACACATCTCTCCAGATCGCTGCGGTCAAATGAACGATAGGTTATCACCGTCATATCCGCCAGCTGCAGTATCACTTCTAGCCGCTTTCGATAGTATACATCTGGCAGCTTTCTAGCGTTCACATTGAACACATAGATAATTGTCAGCTGCTTCAGGTCCAGATCACTTATTTCCACATTGGCCACGTCACGCTGGGCCAGCGCCAAAGCGTTTATTATTGCCACATATTCCAAATCCCAGACGGACATGTTGTCAATAATTAACAGATTGCGACCGCAGTGCGCCAAGTTGTGAAGTATGCCCAGCACTTTCTTATAACGTGCCTCTTCCTCAATCAGATCAAAGTCATTCCAAGCAATTCTCTGCACGTTCAACTTCCATGGATACTGGTAGAACAGCAGTTGCATCGTCAAGCTTTTGCCCAAGCCCGACGTGCCCACCAGAGCAATAGAATGAAATGCTGCATGATTGGTCAGTGCCTCTTCCAGTTGTTGGAGCGCCGCATCTTGATTGATCACATCGCGGTGAATATTGTCAAAGATGTTGCGCATCGATCGGCTGCGATCGCAGTAGTTTGGCTTGTCATGGACAATGGCCTGATATTGGCGGAAGTAGTGCTGCACGAACATCGTCACCTCGGTCTGGTACAATGTGATGCAGCAGATGATGCCCAAGACCAGAAAAATGGGCAGCAGAAAATATCGAAGAAAGGAGCCCATCGGACCGGATCGATGCACATGGGCACATGGATATCCCCTCACGACCTTCGGCTTGTCTGCTGCGAATAGGCGTCGCAATCGCCGGCGGTTCCACTGTCGCTGCAGATCTGTGCAAAGAGTCCAATTGCTTTGCATATGGCTGTTTGGTAGCTGCTCGGATCGGCGTTTTAGGAAGACGCGTTGCCTTGTCTTTTGCGCTTTTATTTCGAATGGGCCGCCTTTTGCGCTTTTCTCATTGTCTGCAATGCCCATTTTCGCAAATTATCTTAAAATTAAAATTTAATCTAAGCAATTTATGAAGAGAGCAACTGAGACTGCCAAGAATTTCAATTTGAAGTACATCAAAATTACTTGATATATCGATAGATCGATGACTGTTTCTGTGAGCGTATGCATCGAATACAGAATGCACGGGCATACATGTGCGAAAATAATTACTTTGTTGCATCAAATGCTGGAGCAGTTAAATTAACTTACAGTTCAGAAAAGCATTATGGAGCGCAACGGTTTTTAATAATATAAAATACCGAATCGCGCTTGTTGGCGCCAAAATAATTGTACTCGGTACAAATCGATACTGCAATTTCTACTCGATGCCACTCGTTTTGGCCGCAGTCGTTTTGTTCACAAATCGCTAGAAGCTAAATAATAAAATGGAAACGTAAGTGATGTGTTAAATATTGAGCATAATTCGTATCTTAACGTGATATTACGACTATTTATTAAAGTGTCAATGCCACATACGCATACATCACAAATCTGGAGGTGATGAATATTCTGCAAACGATCAAGAGCACCAAAAAGAAGTTTGGCATGCGCAACTTGGCGACGGTTACCTACGAAGTAATAACAATAATAATAATAGTTATAACAATAGAGATAAATATGTGCGTGTATCTATTTCAACAGGCCCTGCAGTATCTGGAGGAGTCGCCGTGCAAAACGCAGACATGCGACTCCATCAAGAGTTATCTGCGTGATCTGGGCGCCTATGGATTGATGCCACACGAGATGCTCCAAATGGTTAATGATCCGCCAACAAGTGCGCTGCACACACAGCTGGTAAGCATTAGTCCAACTCCTACTCGGCTCCAGCATTAGTTTCAATTGTGTGTGCATGTTTTGTTTAGCTGATTGATGACAACAAGGTGCCGCTGACCGACGAGGAGAACGAGGCCATCATTGAGCTGACGCACAAGCATTTCCATTTCATTGGTGGCGATCAGAACGGATTGCAGCAGGAGGAGGCCCAACAACAGCAGCAGTGATTTTTTTTATTTTATTATATTATTTTAAATTAGTGCATGTGATTTTCGTATAAAATAAGCACAATTTCAGTAAGTAAGCAGCGAAGGATTTGACTTTTTTGATTAGCGCTTCAGATCGCCTAGATCCGCGATTACATCCTCATCGATTTCTGCCCACTTGTCGGGAATGACATCGAAGAGCTCATCCTTAACGTCGCCCTGAATAACAATCTCATCGTCACCAGTGACTGAGGAGCCGCAAGCGAACTTTGTGCCAAAAAATTTGGCAGCCACTTTGAGATCAATATCTGTGAGCAAAAAGAATAAACATTTAATTACAAGTTGGTTTCGTGTATGTGGATATGAAGAACACCGACCAAAGGTACTCAGTCCAGTGACGACCGTAACGGACTTCTTTTTGCCGCGGGCAGCACGTGAGACACAGATGCGCTTTGGGACATCTTCCTTCTTTTTGACACGGAGCAATCCTTTGCCGCCGCGCTTCTGGCGCTTCTTGTCGTCGTCTGTGCCATCGGCGGCTGCCTGCTCCTCCTCGATTTTCAATCGCTCGAAATCATCGGGCAGATTGCGCTCCAGCCACTCCTTGCACTTCTCGTACTCCGGATAGTATTCACAATACTGCAAATGAATAAATAAATGAAAAATCGTTCAACAATTTTCGCACTAGTCTTGGAATTGAAAGTAAATTTTCAGCCGTCTCACCTCTATTGGCATTGTGCAGTGACCGCAATATTTCATGGCTATGGGATAGGTAACATTGTCCCGCGGACCCACCTTGAGTCGCTCAGCAACGTTTGCGGTTTCGTTCGTCATTTAATTAATTATTTATTATTTATTTTAACTATGCAAACTAGACTGTGGCAATAAATTCAGCATGTAAGAAATTATCGAACAGGCACTAAGTAATCGATGTTTCGATAGTGCCGACCGGTAATCGGTTTCTGCATCTTGCAACACTGATTGGACTGGGCTGGACACTTTAAATGTGGTTCCAATAAGCAAATTGATTAGAAGAATGTTGTAGAGCAATAACTAGATGTACATTATGTTCATTGCGTATTTTCGCCGTTTAATCAACGCAGATATAGGAATTTCAGGGTTGCAGTTCCAAAGATCATTCCGATCGAACTAGTTCAAGGTTCAATGAAAAATAATCAATGAAATGCGCTTAGAAGCAAGCGGTTGTGTCACAACTTTAAGCTGGACTCAAATTGTGTTCTGTAATTATTTGCACCCATGGACGCTGACATCCATAAGGATATAAGTATGATATTACTTGTTTGTAACTAAAAAGAGAATTGTTTATAAACATTGTATATATATATATAAAAACTATGCCTGAACTTATGACGTATAGCGCAGCGAAAGAGAGCGTAAAGCTGCGTATAACCTTTGCTCGTAATAATCGCAAGCGGAGAGATATTGTGATTTGGGCAAAAGTTCACAAACATGGTTCAGATTTGAAAAAATGCGGTGATTGTGTAGACGGGTGGACCTCAAAATGATGCACGCCCACACAAATGAGGGCGGGCCCGTTGCCAGCAGCAGCACCGGCGGCGGCAGTGGCAGCGCCAGCACTGAAGGCAAAATCCGCTGCATTTTTCTGGGTGAATTTGACACCACGGCGGGCTTCAAAATCAGCTGTCAGGTAAGCGCATTAAGCTTCAAGAAATAAATAGGAAAGAGATTTCCATTTCACAGGTGCCGGAGAATTACATCTCGAAGGAGGTGTTTGATGCGATCAACGTTTATATTATACCAAAACCGCCGCTGCAACGCTGCAATCTGACGGTGAATGTGATGGATGTGAAAATTGTTGGTTATCCCGTTGGCATACAGGATCAGCAGAAGTATACTCGCAATGAGTTCATCTTTAATTTGTGCTTCGTCTGCGATTCGCGTTCCCGATCCGTGCAATATGAGCCCGTGGTGAAGAAACTGTCCGAGTATCTTATCATGATGGAGGAGGAGTCGTGCTTCCTGTCGCGCGAGGACGACAAACTGAGGCTGCAGCACATCTTTGAGACGGTGCTGCGGGATCTGAACGAGCGCAAAGTAGCCACCATTGTCGAGGGCGATAACACCATCTATCTGAAGATTGTTATGCATAAGCCGGATCCGCCACCGGTCAAGGATCATATGGTGCCCCTATTGCTGGCTAATCTCCGTGATACGCCGCTAGAGAACTGGGACCTGACCACACAGCAGGTAAATTAATGAATCTGAACGTCTAACTTGGACAAATGAATAAATCGAATATTCAAAATCCATTTCCATTTTTGCGTAGATCTTGCCGTATATCAATGGGATCAATCATGTGGCACGAATCGCCGCCGAAGCTGATGTGGAGACGGATCTGGTGAAGTCTTGCATACAGAATCTAGTCTACTATGGCGTCGTCCAGCTGCTGCCCATACTGAAGTATAGCAATGTGTACATGACACAGAACCTCAAGCATCTTATCCAGAGTGCGGCACTGAGCAATGCCTGTCGCAAATATGTCGCACTGCAGCCGGACAAATTGTTACCCAGTGTGCAGAGAATCTTTCAGTTCTATGCATCGATGACGCACGGCGTCACCTTGCGTGCCATCTGCCAGCGCTTGTGTCCGCAACACCACAATATCGATGAGCGTAAAATGGTCATTTTTGGGCTGCAGCACAAATTCATTCGCTGCATACACAAATATCCGGTATTCACCGGCTCGGTGCCATCGGCCAGGCAGAAGATGTACACGGGCCTCATCAGTTTCGATGAGATCTGCTGCAAGACGGGACTCTCGCCATACACCATCGAGAAGGACATTGAGAAGGATACGAATGTCACTGTGATTTGGAAGTAATAGTTTAATAAGTCGTCTTCTATCTGTCTCTGTTGAGAAATTTGTACTTTATAGCTACTATATATGTGTATTTGTGTTTAAATGTTATCTTTGTAGCTTAGCATATTAAAAAATTGGTAGAAGCTCGGAAAAGTCGAGAAATTGTCGCATTTGCAGACATATCGATACTCAATTATCGTATGCCACAACCAAAAGTGAGATTTAAAGGGCCACATTGCTGAAAAGCGGGAGGAAGTTGGCAGGGTCAGCTACACCAGCGTTGTATGTGAGGACATTCTCCGCAAGGTGGCGACTGAGGGTTAGGGACAAGAACACATGTGGAAAAGAAAAAAACCCAGTGAGGCAGGTCGTGGTCCATAGCGCTTACATTTGTGTGTTCAAGTACATTTAGGAGTGCCTTGACCCTCCATATTCGATAGACCTTGTGAAGCCAAATTCGGCGTGTGTCTGTTTGAATAAATGTTGTGCTGTGCTAATTTTGTGGTTTATGTTTAGGTGGCCGACGGCAGGTCACGCCGCAATTGTGCAATTTATGTCATATGCTCCGAAGTTGATGCAACAACGACCTGGCCGTCGCGCAAAGATTGCTGGCTACGCCCTCGAAGCTACTGCGAGGAAACACTGGGCAAATACACCATCCCCTGATATTGGCAGCGCGCAAGCGCACCGACGGTATTTCTTCAGCCGGTGAGTGCCTTTCGATATGGAATAAGTGCCATCGGGATAAGCCTTCAGTAATCAGCCACGTAGCTCGAGCGGAATACACTCAATCGACCCAGAATCCAAATTAAACTACAAATTGTAAAAAAAAAAAAAAACGGCAAAGAGAAACACATGTCAAAAAAAAAATCAGATCCACGCCCTGTCGAGTGCGAGTCGACTGCGCGCATGTGAGCAGTGCTCCAGCACACCCACCCCTCCTCCAGTACATTTATGTAAATGTTGAATTAAGCAAATTTGTTGAACGTTATGTTAAGCTATGCGTTATTTATGTTAATGTAATTATTTATTCCCGCATCTAATATTAATTTAAATTTCTAAGTTAACCGTGCTCGTCAACAAAATCCGGCGTCCGGATTTTTGCCAAATTGCGGAATCCATTTTTTTGCACGAGATCCCGGACTTATCGTTTCGAAGTCATTGGGATTAATACCAGTACGCAGTTCGAAAACCCAATTTCATTTGCTTCAACAACAGTGTCAAAAAGCATTCGAAATGACCAAAAAATGCCAATCTGAGGCGAAGAGCTTCAACCTATTGCTATTCTTACCATAACTCATAATGTTTTTGCTTTTGATCTACAAGGGCACGTTAGAATATGGGCCAGCCATTAATTTTGCGCGTACAAACAAAAGTCGAACAGCTGTTCATAAATTGCACACAATTTTACAGTGTGGATTTCAGTTTGCTTTCTTCCGCCAGCTGTTTCACAGCGTTTATTTTTCTGCGAAGAATATATATTTGAAGCCAGCGAGTTTTAATTCAATATTTCACCAAAAACAAATACACCATTATGCTGAACTATTTGCATTTTATTGTGGTCAGCATACTGGCCGTTAAACTCGAGAAACAGTCCGTTGATCAGCTGTTTTGCGTGACTCTGTGACGTCAGCATGAGTGAAGGGGACAACAAGCCAATGTGCCAGCCAAAATAAATATATATACATATATATACATATTGTACATATGAATGCGAAAGCACAACAACAGCAACCACAACGAGATAAACCGGCAATAACCAGAGAAATATTAAAATAGCCACAATCTCTGGCACTCTCGCTGACCATGTTTTGAAATCTTTTGGCGTTATTAAAGCATTTTTCTTGCTGCCATTGCCGACAAACACAATATTTCTACACGCACACAAACGTTCATGTGTCTCTGCAGCAATATAGAGTATATATACATATTATATATCTCTATATATGCGTGCGTAACTGATTCTATATAGAGAGACACTTAGTTGCCGCTTTGTCAAAATTCGGGCATTGTTATTCGCATCTGCAGCAGCATTCAGCTACGACGACTCAATTCATAAATAATGTCCGAAGATGCCAAGAGTGAGTAATATGTTCATATATATAGAAATATATATGTGTTTACGTTTATGGATATATCTGAATCTATATATGAATATGATGCAGGTCCACGCACCCGAAACATCATTGAAAATCAATTGTTTCGCCGTCAGCGCAGTCTTAAGCTTGAGGCCCTTCAAAGGCAGCGCTCACAATTTGGCAGCCTCGACGACAGCTGCGACGAAGAAGCGGAAACGCTCGACAAGGTTTGCGTATTCGTGTGCAATAAATGCGAATTAAATGATATTCATATTCACATGTATTGCACAATTGTTGCAGACGTATATTGTCATTATATTCACGGAGAAGGCCAAGCCGCGTCACTGCCAGGATGTGGTAAAAATCATTGAGGAGTTTGGCATACAAACTACACTCGAAATTGTTAGGTAAGTGTGCACTCTCTTTCTATCTCGCTCTCTTTCTATCTCTTGGTCGTTCTCATTATTATTATACTCGACAATTGTGTTGTAGCAAAACCGAAAAGTATTTATATCTGACGGCCAACTTGGATACACTGTTGCGTCTGGCCGATGCGGCAGAACTGGAGAAAAGGACCACCACGGGCAGCATGCAAAAGTTCAATCATGGCTGCGTCTCTGACTTCTTGCTGCCGGGCATGAGCAAAGAGCAGATACTCCAATTTTGCGAGATTCCCGTACTGATCAAAGATGTTGTTGAGCCGCCAATTAGATCCTACATACAGAAAGGTTACATCGAGGACATGTTTCCATTGCATGATATTGTATGTAATTGTACCCAAGAGGATGTTTCAGAATTCCATTCGAAATCCATTCATATGTTATGTATGCAAAATACTGCCAGTCTTCAATATATCTCTAAAGTTATATGGGAATTGTTTTGAAGTTGATTTGCATTTGATATACACTTTAATGGAGTTTCGATATATAATTCTTTAGTGAAGATGCATTTGTGTGTATCTCTTTTGCTGTCTTTCATTCTAATCGAATCTTATTATAAATATATGTATGTATATATTACAGCTATATCTGGATCGATTCAATCTGAATCTCAAACGTACCACGTTGCCGATTGAAGATATACGCAACTACTTTGGCTCCAGCATTGGTCTTTATTTTGGCTTTATTGAGTTCTATACGAAGGCGCTTGTGTTTCCAGCAATCTTTGGCCTGGTGCAATGCCTGATGGATCTCAATCTGTCACTGGTATGCGGCTTCTATGTGATCTGGACGACAGTGAGTGCGATCGAGCTGAGACACAATTTTAAAGATGACTTGCTTAGTGGTAACGTTCCTTTAGATCTTTCTGGAGTTGTGGAAGCGTAAGTGTGCTGGCTATTCGTATCGTTGGGGCACCATTGAGATGAGCAGCTTGGATAAACCGCGTGCCGCCTATCAAGGTCAACTGAAGCCGGATCCTATAACTGGCAAAATGACACTGCATTATCCGATGCGTTACACGTACCTGCAAATGTATTGCATTTCGTATCCGGTGGTGCTGGGCTGTGTGGTGGCTGCCGCCTGGTTTGCTCTATATCAGTTCCAAATTGAGGCCGAAGTTTTGGCGGATTTCGGTGCAGACTCATGGCTGCTTTATATCCCCGTCATCGTGCAGTCCATGCTAATTGCGATCTTTTCGTGGGCGTACGAGAAGCTTGCCACATTCCTCACCAATCTGGAGAATCATCGAACACGTTCGCAGTACGAACGGCATCGGGTCAATAAGCTGATGATTTTCGAGATTGTTAACAATTTCTTTTCACAGTTTTATATTGCGTTCGTGCTGCAGGATCTCAAGCAACTCAAATACCAGCTGATGATGCAGCTGCTCATCTTTCAGCTGGTGTGTATAGCTCAGGAAATTGGCATTCCCCTGATGGCCGTGCTGCGCCAGATGTACGCTAAATATCGCCACACCGAAGTGGACCCAAACAAATTGAGCGCGGTTGGCAATAAGTCACGGTACGAGCAGTCATTCTACGAGTCTGGCCTGGATTCCTATCATTCCACCTACGAGGATTATCTGCAGGTGTGCATTCAGTTTGGCTACGTGGTGCTCTTTGCTGCCGTTGCGCCCTTCGCCGCCATCGGTGCTTTAGTCAACAACGTGTTTGCCGTGCACATTGACATATTTAAGCTGTGCAACATCTTCAAGCGACCCTTTGGGCGTCGCGCTAAAAATATTGGCGCTTGGCAGTTGGCTTTTGAGCTGATCTCGGTCATGTCGCTGATGAGCAACTGTGGCCTGCTCTTTCTCCAGCCGGATGTCAAGTGAGTAGCTGTCGTGTTTGAATACCTTTGGTATTGCATATTTTTCTTTTCCAACATATACTAAACTTTATTTCAGGCAATTCTTTTCGCACTGGGTGCCTTCAATGCCGGATCTATCGTTTGTCATCTTTGAGCATCTACTGCTGGGCCTTAAATTTCTAATACACAAGGCGATTCACGAGCGTCCACGATGGGTGCGCATTGGACTACTCAAAGCCGACTACGAGACTAGCCAGGCGCTGAAGTAAATCACAATTTATTTTGCCCGATTCCGTCTATTTCAGTTATTAAATATGTTTGTAACTTTTACATTTTCTAGAAAATTCAAAGCAGCCAAGAAAATGCCTTAGTGGTGAGTGGACTCCCTCAATCAGTTGGCTGTCGCCAATGGTGCCTTATCGGCTGCAAGTCAATGCAAAACAATTCAAAGCAAGCACAAATCAAACGAACCAGTCCATTTAAATATACACACATGCATACACTTTAAATGCTTTTTGTACTTAATTTTATTATTACATACATTATATATTTATCATACCTAATTGCATAAATGCGTCCAAAAACCATATTTAAATCGTTATTACTATATGGGCTCTGGGCTTTTTTTTGTCTTCTAGGTCCCAGAGAGATCCATGGCAGCGTTTCCAAATCTTACTAATATGTAGAGCCACAATAAATCAGTTATTCTACATATATATATATATATATATATATATATATATTTATTTTAAAGTCATCTTGTGTAATTCACATATATAAAATTGTCTGCAATTTGTGTCTTATACATATTTAGAAAACTTATTTATACATGTATTTATATTTGATTTAAATACTGGCAGTAAGTTAACCAAAATCCAATCGCGTAATTTTTTACTACAATTAAAAAATATTTAATACTAGGCTTACATATCCATGTTCATAACGAATGTCTAGCGATGGCCACGAAAATGCTTAAAGGCGACAAAGGCGTCGATGGCATGTAGAAGTCCTGCCGCATAACCCATGTACTGCAGAGTATGTAAAAATAATAATATTGAAATATTTCCTTATGCCACTAGAGTACAAATAGAGGCTTACGTAAGTGGCTGTCATAGCTGGATATGCCCAGAATCCAGGACGAACCAGAAACTGAGGATGCAACCAGACGACGCAGGCAAATCCCATATAGCTGGCTGAACTGAAGTACATGCAGCTCGCCATCGCATTGAACAGCGTCTCCTGTACAATGTCAAAGTTTATTTTTAGCCCAATGAGAGATGTACATATGTATGTATGTATTATGTGTGCTTACAAATAGTGACTGTCGAATGAGACCATAAGATTTATCCGAGAAGCAGTAGCTTATTAGCAGTAGGACTGTTGTGGTGAAGCAATGTCCAGTTGTTACCAAGAAACTGGTCAGCGCCGGGCCAATGGAGTCAGCGTATGGCACACCATATTTGATAAGCAGGCCCTCGCACAAAATGGCCAGACCTAGCTGCATGAGTTTCATGAGTCCCAACCGGGAGAGCACAAAGTCAAAATTGATACAAGTGAAGACGCGACAGCAGCAGATCTTAATGCCAAGTGGCTGGCTCATGCCGCGCACACCAAAGGAAGCCATCGTTTCTAAACAGCGGTCTGTAATACACTAAGACGCAAAATTTGCTCCTCGATTGCTTTCAGTTGCACAAAAAACAAAGAGCGGATGCAGCGCGTCTATAAATAGAGATGCCTGCCTCCAAGCAGTGCCAGCTGCGCTGTGCTTGTAAATAAAATGTGACTTAAAAATAACAAAGATGGAGCTGATTTTATTTTTGCCGTTTCTGAAAGTAAGATCAACTTCTGTTTTATTTTTCAGAAATATATTTCTTAGTAATAGAAAGAGTTATTAGTATGGATTCTTTCTAAAATTCAGAAAACAAGGTTCGACTTAGCGTAGTAAAAAATGTACTTTGGAATTAAGAAAAGAAAACAAAATATGTTTTTTTCATTATAGATTACTATATTTTCAAATTTGTCAATTCATTTTTAACTATCTGAGGTAAATACTATTTAGCCTGTAGCTTAGGCATTTAAATTAATTTATATATACATAAATATATATACATATATTCAATACTTAAATTTAGGTTTTGATCTTTTAGTGAAGACTCCTTAAGTTATCTGTCTTAAATATCAAACTTTTGCATTGTTATCATGAGCGATATACATTATCTATTAAATAACTTAATTGGTTTTGCAGCATATCAAACTACTGCAAAGTCTTCGGATTTCAATTGCTCGTAGTATTCCCCTGTTTTTGGGCGATGGTAATTTTATAAACATGCCAATATAATTTGGTTGCCCTTAAATTGTTTGCCATTTAAATTTGAGCGATGAAATGCTGCCAACGCTCAGATTTTCGTTTAGTTTCAAGGAAGCGGAGGAGATCCTTAAACTTATTCTTTAAACTTATTTATTTCTGGCTTTCACATAAATCCAGCCAAATTGATGATCAAATTGTTATTCTTGAATCTTTGAACACTTTGAATGCCAATCAATTTTTTTTTGCTCCAAAACAGGTGTCCATTTGAGATCCGCAAGGATATGTCCCATTCCTTTTGTTTTAATAAAATATCTCCAGCTTGCAGAAATCCTTACAGATGTTCAAAGGAAAGTGTGTGTATCAGAATCGCAATGACCAACTCTGTTTATGAGGAAGACTTTGAAGCTTTGTCCAGGATATACAGATCAGTCTGTTGAGTTTATTTGTGTCGGTCAGAGCAGCCAGTGCGCCATCGTTCAGGCGCTTGGCTTGTCAGTGAGTTCAAATTTCAGCTCACACGCCCATAGACTGTAGTTAAAAACAAATTTTTGTTTCGAACGACCCAAAAGATCCAAATTTCTGTTAGGCAAACTCAAATTATCTGGCGAGATGTGCTTGCCGTACGTGGGTAAACTGTTTGGCGGCGGTCATCGCCGGCGGAACAGTGCAATTGAGTCGCCACGGTCCAGTCTTGCGCCGACACCGCAGCCATCGAATGTGACCATTCAGACCACAAATAACGCCAATGCCAACACAAACACCGCAATCGCCGCTTTGAAGAAGGACTCCATAGTGCTGGTCAATGCTGCAAGTGTGAAGGATGCCACCGGCACGACTGTGGCCCAGGCAGCCAGCAGTCAAGTACGCCAAGCGACGGTTCGCGACTCGAAGCCAACATCCTGGTTGGAGTTCCTTGGTATAAATAGGGGAAAGAAGGGCAGTGCTGATTCGCTCTAGATTTACTCAATTGATGTCCAACGCTCAGATTTCGATCATACAAACATATATCGATATTCAATACTGACGATTATTGGATCACAAAATCACGATGATAATTGATAAGAAGTTTGCCAAATAAATAGAAGAAATAAAAACAATAAAATTTGGAAACACAAACACAGCCCACGAAAGTATATGCAATATATCGTCTTCAACTTTATCCAGAGTATATTGGATAAAGATAGAGGATATCGATGTAATCGATAATTGCAAATTGCAATTACCTGTTATCCCCCACCCTATCATAGAAATCGGAAAAGACTATATCTTCCGTAGTTTCTGAGTTAAAAGCATCAAACTTGGGAGATATATTAAACAAATTTTATGGCCTCGTCCATACCGGTCCCCATAATATATTTCTGAAAGTGTAGATCTATAAAACCAATATCTCCCATAATGAATGCCATGGGATTCATGAGGCAGACTATGAAAGTCTGGAGATCTATTCTGTCGGCTTTAAAACACTATTTGATGGATCAAAAGGAGGCAACTTTTGTCTGAACTTTCGAAGCGTAAAAGGACAAGTTTAAGTGGCCCAAATGAACTATCTCTCCCTTCATACATGCCCACAAAGTTCGTATCTACTACTAAACCCGTCTCTACAAATGCCAGAAAGACGTGATGAAAATGATGTCATTCCCATGGATGTTGTTGCTTGTATCCCCGAAAAAGTTGTCGATTCGGTGATTGTTAACACCATTTTTGCAATTAAATGTTCTTTTAACCAAAGCATTAGCTCCATCGGACGCGGCTGTTAAGTTTCCTCACATGATCCTTGTAGATGTTCCACCTATAAAACATGTATTTGATTCAAGGCTTTCCTCTAATACCACATCTGACGATGTCAAGGCTTTTATTCAGTCTAGATCTAAAGAAAGATTCCAATTTTCGTATATTTTTTCATATTTTCATACTTCAAAATAAATGTTCAGCAACATTCTGGCCGGATCATGTTATTTTCAAAGAATATACTGCAAAAAATAAAATTCTGCCCCGATTGTTCTTCCTTCATCAATTGTTAGTTTAAAAAACCTCTTGCGGTTTCAGATAGTATATAACACTAACAAGCTCTCTTTTACTTGGCTATCAAAATGCAAGAGGTCTCCAAGAGCCAACCAATTACAATTTGAATTATAGTAATCAGAAGATGACAACTACTCCGGAAAGTGCGGAAAGTAAACTTAAGATCATTTTAGCTACATATATATCTATGCGAATAGTATGAAGTCGTCTCGAGTATAGAAACAAGTTCGTATGTATGTATGTAGGTTTGTTTAATAACGGCACTTGAGCTTCGTTTTACTTTCATGTCTATTGAGCTTGCAAAACGTGAGCTGAGCTCAAGTTAAATAGTCACAGAAAACGAAGACTGAGCGAGACAAATAAAAAACATTGATGTCGCCGCCGGCGGCATCGCAGCGATTAGTGTAATTTATCAGGCACAACGTCAATTCAAGTTTAGTGGGAGTGGGGGCAAGCGTTTTGACAATGAAATTAACATGGCTGTTATCAAATCAATTATTGTGTTTTCGCAGATGCTGCAGCTGCTGTTGCTGTTGCCGTTGCTGTTGCCGTTGCTGTTGCCGTTGCTGTTGCCGTTGCTGTTGATGTTGCTATTAAGCTGGCCTCACAATATCGCAATAGCTCCGGCCGTTGACGTCAACGAAAGGTAGCTCGAAGCGCTTCCGAATGCTGTAACAATTGAAACCATTGCAATTCATCTGTGCATACTCACACACACATGCAAACACACACACACACACTCACACACACATGCAAACACACACACACACACACACACACACACATACATATATCATTCATTCTGTTGACTCTCACAGTTATCGGCAATTGGCAATTTGCCAATTTTGTCACGATTTTTCACGTGCAGCTGAGACGCATGCGCAACAGTTAACTGTTGCTGGCTGCTATGCGGAAGTAATGCACATCCATATATCGATTACGAACAACTAGCCGGCCATATAACCGATTATTGATAGCTTTAAAGGTGCACTTCGTAAAGAGATGTTCTGAATTTGGTGTGAAAACCCTAAAAATTTGATTAGCAATAACAAAAAGCATATTTACTTTCAAATAATTCGGAAGTTGACAACAAGCATCTCAAGATATATTGTTATAGAACGGTTTTTGTATGGCAGCCACCATCAACAAGATTCCACCGATCTAATCAACTGTAATTTTTGAACTATCCTTAATTTAAAGCTCATCCAACATAATATCTAACATAATATTAGCACACTTACAGAGTAATGTTTATTAAGAGCAGAGCCGAGCATTTATTTCAATGAATACCTAAGAACAACATTTATATTTGTTTTCATTTTCTCTTCTGATGTCGCTACAAGAGACGCTTTCTATATATGAATATACATATACTTGAATATACTGAAAATATACGATATATTTGCACGAATTTTTCTAGTTATTTATAAAGAACAACAAAGATAAAAATCGAAATAAAAATAAACAAACAAATACGAAAAGCGTTCAAATACGAAATTTTTGTGTTTTTATATTTTTCTCGGCGCCGATCATTGGTGCCGATGCCTTCGAGACGGAGACAGGCAGTTTTCTGTTTTCAGTTTATAGTTTTCAGTTTTCAGTGTTTGTCGTAAAAATGTACTGAACATATTTTGTAAATTGCTGTGTCATTATATTAAAAACCATAACACATCCTACACACACACTGAGAGGGAGAGAGAGAGAGATGCATTAATATTTTAATTAAAATTACAAGTGTGACTCGTTGTTAAAAGTGTGTGCACAATTTGTTGTGTGCTATTTAAAGCCGACAATAACAAACAAGTGTCAGCTGTGTCTGCAATCAGCACCAAAAGTCTACAATAAAACAACTTACAATAATAATAATAATAAAGAGCGCTAACAAATGCAGTTTGCACCTAAACTGACCGAAAACAGAAGCGAAATACATTTTCAATCGTTATCGCAACGCAAAAAGGTTTGCACTGGGTATGTATTTATTATGGGGACAACATTCATTTGTTTATTTTAGTGTAGAAATGTATGTGTGTAAATACATATTATATAAGTATACATTTTCCAATTTGGCAGAACCGATATATATATATATATATATATATAATTGACCAAAACAGATGCCTGCGCCGCGTATTACGCATTAACTTAAACTGTGGATGCGACTTTCATTATAGCTACATACATAAATAAATATATATATATATATATATATATATATATATACACAGCTGAGAATGTTGTGCAAAAGTACACCGAGATCAATTAAGGGGCAGCTACATAAATATCTATGATCTCAAATATAACACTTAAGCTTACTATTGGCTCCAATTTATTTCTATTTTTACTTTCCTTCGACCTTAATAATAATGTAATCTATAAGAAAAAAATAAAAAAATGGAACGGTTATCTTTGGCAAGCCAAAGATTAAATAAAAACACAAATCTTTTTTTAGAAATTATGACGTAGTCAAGTATGGCACTCCAAAAAACGAACAAGTTGACTATGAGAAGTATTTAGATTATAATTGATTTAGATGAGTTTTAATCTCAAACTGCAAATAAAGCAATTAAATAAATACATACAAAGTTATTTTTATATCACACTTAATGATAGCAACGACAAAATAAGCAGCAGCTAATAAGCTATTACATATGTCATGACATGGGGATAAAATAGACGATGTTCATTTTACTTTGTGAATAGATTCACTTTCAATTGTGAAATTGCACAATGTGCTGGTTGTATAATCCAATTGGCAATCAGCTGTTACATACGAATTTTAATTGACATCAACTTGCACCAAGTCCGAGTTTGAAATGCAAGCCCGATGCCCTGTAAACAAAACTCGTGTCGCACTTCCATTGTTTAGAAAATAAATAGCCAAATGGAACTGCAAATATTTGTTGTTTATCTACAAAAGGCAATTTTAAAGGCACAGCAAACAGCAACATTCTTGTGGGGATGGGGGTGGGCCGGCAGTTTGTGGGCGTGTCTCGACAATTGAACAGTTAGTAATCAACGTGTCTTTCAAATTTTGTGTTCTGGTTCTAGTTCTTGGGGCTTGGGCTGAGCGTGGCCAAGAAAGTAACAATCTTATGAGGAGGTTCCTTGTCATTCGAAGTTTGGCAATTTTAGCTTAAGAATTGCGGAAAATATTGGTTATACAATGTTTTTTTTTTTTTTTATCAGTTTTACCAATTTTGTGGCTCTGGTTTTCAAATTGTGTGAGATAAGCGATTTTACCAATTTACATCATCTTGAAAGAGAAGTTACCTTCCAAATTTGATAACTTTAGTTAAGAAACTGTGGAAGATATAATATATATATATAATATTTCCTGTTTAAGTCTTAGACAGATTGACGGACAGAGTATAAAAACAATTTGAACTTCTTGGAACGCATACGAAATTTAAAATTACAGATCATAAAAACCATACTCTCATCTTTGGTAACTGATACTGACAATGTTTTCTGTCAAAATACCAATTTTTTTTTATTAGAAAATTCAACTTTTGCCTTTCCCTGATTCACTGACTTTAAAAAATGTCTGAAATATTTCGAATTTTCTTGATCAGGAGTACAATTTCCTTCTGATTGGCGTGGAAGAAAAAATGTTTTTACTTAAAATCAAGTAATTGTAAATAAGAATGAATGAATATCCCAGGCACCCGAAAATTAGCAATAATAATAAAAGCGTTTGGATTTTTCAGAGTTCAATTTCCGACCAGCTATAGGTTATAGTTGTCCGATGTGGAGGACAAATAACGCGCATATTGGCCAAGTTTGGTTTGGGTATCTTATTATAGAACTTGTCCTTTGACCGACATCGAATCCAACAGACGGCTAGTGAGGCTGTCCAAGAATATATTTATATATGTATACAATATGGGATCGCATTTGAATTTGGTCGAAAAGTTATTGAAACAAATAAATAAAATTCAACCACAAATTAAATAGTTATCAATAATGCAATAATGATTCAGAGACTTGTACAAATTGCTGGTATTGCCAAAGGGTTGGCTCTAAAGATTAGACACTTTTAGCTGCAACAGTTGGCAATTGTTGTCGACTCACCGGAATGTCAATTAGTGAAATCTGGGAAAATAAGTTGGCGATAAAAAAAGAACATTTGTTGTGCCGACGTGAAGACGGAGGCGGAGATGGGCAATTGTGGAATTGAGGAATTTCAGAAACAATGTATATTCTTATGTTATGTGAGCTATGTCTGTGTTCAGCTCGTTCCGGCTCGTTTTGGGGGCTTATCATTTGACTGGAAATCGAAATTGGAAACTCTTGTTATTCACATTCAACGTCATCGAGCACAGCGCATCGATGACTAATGTGCATGTATGCTTGGATGTACATACATATGTATGTATGTGTGTATGTATGTATGTGTATATGTATCTATGTATGTACGTATGTATGTTAGCATGTATGCTCGCTGCTTGACATTGAATTTTCGGATCACTTTCATGCTTGAGCACAAGCTCCAATTCCATTCCATTTTGTTACACTTCATTAAAGTGGAATCGTTGGAAAGTTCAGTTTGAGCCAAGTTCGAGATCGAGTCCCAACGACTGCCTGCAATTCAAATTCAAATTCGAATTCCAATTACAATTCCAATTCCAATTCCCATTTCAATTCCAATTTCGATGCCGGCAAGCAAAAGCCACAGTCGCTGCGGGCTGCAACGTCGACGTCTGCGTCTGCGTCTGCGTCTGCGTCTAAGCTGCGACGTCGAGTCGCGTCGCGTCGCGTCGCGTCGCCTTGCGTCGGTTTTGGCGCAATCGAAAGATACGTATCGGCTTTACGTAGACAGCGTTAGTCGCACGCCGAGTGTCGTCGACGTCAGTTCACAGTTTTCAAACAGCTTTCCGAAAAGATCCCAAAATCCCAAAAAATATAAGACCAGTTAACGGTTACGTTAACAGTTAGGCAACGTAATCAGTGTAAGTATCCTGCGCTTGTGTGTGTGCGTGCGTGTGAATAACGGTACTTTCCTAAATTACTCGAGTGATTTTTTGGTTTGTCTTTTTTTATTAATTCTACTTTTTTGCCGTTTTGTTGTTGCTCTCAAATTCAAGTAAATCGGCGGCAATTTTGCATGCCACTCGTATTGTGATGCAACTCAATTAATTAATTCAAGTGAAGCAAGAAAGCCATAGACAAACTTGGTTTAGGCTAGAACTCAATAATCCGTGCAATCCAAATTCAAATTGAAATTCAAAAATTGAGCAACAAACTCAAATTGATTATCGTCGTTGGGCGAAATCAAAGTAGATTTCCAAACAAAGTTTTGCTGTTTTTTTATTTTTTTTATCATCTTTGTTGATGTCTTTGTTTTAGCGGCAAATTAGCATGTTTTATGGCAGCTAACAACATCTAACATCTTTCTAGTAAACATTTCCATTTGCATTGCAATAACGGATTATTAGATTAACTGTAATCTGTAATCTGTAATCTATATCTGTATTCAGCAATTGGCAATTGTGTAATTTATGCATATTTATGGCATCTGTTCTAGGTACGACTGAAAACATATACATTTATGTATATTCGTATATCGCACATGTGATCAATATACTATATTCCACTTTTATCACGTTCAGTTGTTATTTATAAATAATAACTTGTGCAATTAAGTTGCAAATCACCGCAATCCCCATTGATTAAATAAATTAAAATTATTATAATCGCAATCGTTGTTCTAGCTGTAAAGCTGAAAAAGCTGCTCGCATTTTTTGTCAACAATTTCGCCCACATCGCCAACGACATGCAGCGCACTCCCTCCCACCACACACACCCCCCACCACCACCTCCTCCTCCCCCTCACAGTAAGAGTAGGAAGTCCGGAGAAGCCATTCCCCTTTCCCCATTCTCGGATCTGTGATTAGCCGTTGGGGATGATATCGCTATAAACATTTAGTTATATATATATATATATATATATATAAATATATAGATTTATGTACACATAAATTACATATGCATGCATGAATGTATTTATATACGTATCAAACGTATTTCGACGGTTTATTTATTTAAATGCAAATCATGCAAATAACATTAAAAAAATAAAATAAAAAACACACAGCAAAACAACACTCACTCAACACAGATCAGTGAAGTTGCTAACATTATTCAGCTCATGATCTACTGTTGGTAAAGTATCTCTTTAGGTTCCGTATCAGCTTTTGTACATTTTTCCCCATTCTACGGGTATCTCTATATATATATATAGATCTGTGTAGAGAGCTCTCTAAATCGTCCATTGACTTTTATGCAAACTAGCAATTAACTTTTATTGTACATTTTAAGTAGAATTTCGCTTTTCATTGAACGACTTTGAGTGTTTGTTGCTTGCCGCGATCTTTTCCATTTTTTGTATCTAAAGTGTTGGAGTCGGGGCACGTGTTTGCAGAGTCGGTCAACAATCAATGATCGCAAACAGGTTAGGCAATTTGGTGCCAAATTAGATCGACATTATGCAAATTTATATTATAGTTTTCACAAAACAAGAACCAAGTGTTCAATATAACCGATTGTTTAGAAGGACCATAAACTTATACCAACCAGGTTTTTTTTTTTTAATAGTGCTCCATAAATATTCTTCTACCGAAATGAATAGAGGATCATTGTTCTACATTTACATGCGGAGATCATCAAAATGTTGAACAGAGCTGCCACCAAGAATGCAATTAAATTGATGTTTAATTCGATTAATTCCATTAATTTGCAAATAGCTGAATATACAATTCGATTAAATAGAATTGCTATATATACTCGATTCACTGTAGTTTACTTTCGCAAATTAAATTTCATTCTCAGACCGATAAAGAGCAAGCATTTAACAATTAAATAATATCAATAAATGACAAATAAATCAATGATTTTGTTGTTGTTTGTCGGTGTGGTTATAAGACCAGATTGAATCGCTGACCAAATCAATTAATTAACATACTGCGTAGTCGTCTAAAGTATTAGAGAGAGAGAGAGAGAGAGAGAGAGAGAGAGGGAGAGATAAAGATTATGAGAGAGAAACTAAAAGAGATTGGGCAACAGTTGGGTGAAGTCGAGCGTGACTGTGGCAAGCGTGTGCAACTGGGTTAATATTCAATGAACTAGAGAGATGGCTATAGAAAAATATAGTTATTATTATGGTCATTATTATTATTATTGTTGTTGTTGTTGTTGTTGTTGCTGTTGCTGTTATCGTTTAGTTATAGTTTGTGGCTGCGCCATGCAATTGCCTTTGCCTTTGCCTTTGCCTTTGCTGTTGCAGTCAAACAATATTTAGACAGGTGTTTCACGGTCTTTTTGTTTATTTATATTTATATTGTTTTTGGTTTTTCTTTTTCTTTTTTTTTTTTGCTTTTCGCTGTGCCACAGAATCGAAGCAGAAACTGAAATTTGAAATGGAATCGGATACTTATATGCCGGCATCGGCGTTGCCCAACAGCAAACGCTTTGTCGTCGAAGATTCAAGTAAGTGTATCTCGCTTCCGGCATAGAAAGTGATCCGGGCCGGTCTCTGGCCGGAAGTGCTGCAAGTGGTTTGATGTAGGCGATGCCTACCTCCCTCCCAGCATCCCTCAGGGTAAACCGAACAACCGAACAGCCGCAAAAATCAACTCGAAATGCCAGCATTCACCCAATCATCGATTAGCAATAACAGCTTGAAGTAAACATCGAACATTTGGCCATGAGAGACACAGCCATAGAAACAGACCCAGACACAGACTCCGACTCAGATTCAGATTCAAACACAGACTCAGAGTCGACTCGCGTCTCGTCTCGTGAGTCAGTTTGGAGACGGAGTAGACAGACATCAAGGCGCACTCGTATAACTGGAACACTAACGACTCTCTCTTTCTCTGTTTCTCTGTTTCTGTCCCTGTCCCTCCCTCTCCTTACGCACACAGTTACAAAGGTGACCTCAGATGGGGAACCACACGGCATGATGACCATGGTGGCAGGTTTATCGGGCCTATTGGCTGCAATTATTATACTGGCTGTGCTCGTTTCGATGGTGGCATGTCGCAAGCGTAAAACGTAAGTATTTAGAATCGCATACGTTTGATCTGTCAACTGAAAGACCAATTATCTAAGCAGAAACAACAACAATAAGGACAACAACAGCAATGCGATGGCCGCGGCTGTGGCAATGACGAGCGTCGTTGAGAAGGCACAGCCCCAACTTGCTGGCAATCTGAATGCTGCCTTTGCGGAGAGCACTCTAAGCCTGAGTGTCGTTGACAAGGCCAAAAGCATGGACATGGACATGGACATGGATAGAAATGAGGTGAACCAGTGGCCCACAGCGATTGTCGTTGAGCGCTTTTAGAAAGGAAGAGAAAGCGACGCTGGTTAAGCAAGTGATGTTTGTGAACACATGAGACTGAAATTAGAAATTTAAGCGAGATGTTTTTTTTTTTTGTTTTTGTATAATAGAATCCATTATTTTGTTACTGTACTATCTCTTGATCATTATTCGAATACGACTGAAAGCAGACGCAATGCAGCTTGCAGCAAAAGAAAATGCAACGCACACTATTTGTGGCAAGTCGACAAACAATTTGATTTTGCCGATTGTATTTATACTTGACATGCATAAAAGAAATGAAGAAAAGTGTATAAAAATGATTGTTCCCATTGAACTTGGTTGGCAAACGCATTCAGAGCGTCCCGCTGCGACAGCCAACGACCATCGCCAGCAGCGCCATGCGAATGTACATTCCATACTCGGCCTGCCGGAAATAGGCTGCCCTCGGATCCGAGTCAAAGTCACGGCTGATCTCCTCAACTCGCGGCAATGGATGCAGCACGATGGTCCGCTTGCTGGCATGCGTCATCATTTTCGGGGTAACAATAAAGTGGCCACAGCACTGCGAAAAGAAAAACAAAGAAAATTAGAAAATGATTGGATGAGTGATAGACTAGCAGATACTCTGCAGAACAGAGCATTGTACGATGACTTCAGTGCAAGCCATTTCAATTTGGATATTGCTTGGAATTGCAAGCAATCGATTATCACAAATAGGAATCTTGACATGATTATGATATGGTTTATAATGTGTGCACATATCACACATATTCTGCTAAAGATGCACAGCAACTTGTAATTTTCGTGCTTACTCGTTAAAAGTGTTCATTGACACTCAGAAGCTAAAAGTAGCATTTTCTTTTTCTTTTTGTGTAGCTGCTGTAATAAATAAATAATTATTTTACACCAATTTTAAAAAGCCGCAAATAGAAAAGGCGTTGGATTTTCTATAGATATATATATATATATATATATATATATATATATATTATTTGTGACACTAAAGTGGGAGTAGAGCACAATGTGTGCGATATGCATTTTATTTGGACAATACAAGTTTTGAATAGCAATTTGTTGATGATGGCCGTTACTTACGCGTTTGTATTCGTCCTCGGTCTGGAAGCGTTCGCGCTGGATGCGTGTCATGTAGAGGACATCGGTGCTTGGGAGTGCCTGCTCGATGCTGTCGTAGGTGCGCTGGGTGACGCCTCGCTGATCCAGGTAGCGCATTATGTCCTCGGGCATGCCCAGTCCCGGTGGCGCCACATACTGCAGCGTGATATTGTAGACGGTGAGGAGGCGTGCCAGCGAATGAACGGTCCGTCCATTCTTCAGGTCACCCACCATAGTGATGGTCAGGCCATTGACAGTGCCAATCTCCTCGCGTATGGTGAAGACGTCAAGCAGCGCCTGCGTCGGATGCTCACCGACACCGTCACCGGCATTGATCAAGGGTTTGCGCGAAAATGATGCAGCGCGCTAAATAAAATTGGGGTTTAATTAGATCGATGATTGTTGAGTGGGTTGTGGGAAGTGAAGTGTGCTTACCGCAACGGCGCCAGGCTCGGGATGACGCAGTACCATGACATCCGCATAGCAGGCCATCACCTTGATGCTGTCCTCGAGTGTTTCGCCCTTCTTCACCGATGAGGTGACCTGATCCATGTTGATGACATGACCGCCCAGACGCTGCATTGCCGCACTGAAGCTGCACTGGGTGCGCGTGCTCACCTCATAGAAGATGGTGGCCATAACCTTGCCGCGCAACAGATCGTCGACGGGGCGATCCTTTGTCACGCGCGACTTGAGCAACTGGGCCAAATTGAACAGATCGTATAGTCGCTCCTTGTTAAAGGTGTCCACGGAGAGCACATGCTTGCCGACCAGACAGTGCGCCACGGGATTGGGTGTGGACAGCAGCGAGTTCTTCTGCAGGTATTCCTTCAGTGTTGCATTGCTCGAGGAGTCGAGACGCAGTCGTGGCGATGGCGACACCGGACGCAGAAAACTGCCCGCCGCCGGCGATGTGCTAATGTTGGCCTCATCCTCAAAGTGAACGGTTGTCGAACGAGCCGCTGTGCCATCGGTGAGCAGACGAGCAAATGTATCATTGGCATCCGTGTCGCTGGGCAGATCATTGCCCTCGAGCTCGGACTTTTGTGGTAGCGGCACCTTGGCACGCACATTCTGACCATAGCCGGGCTGGACGAGCACCTGGCCATCGATGAAGGCGACTTCGCCGCGTAGGACGACACGATGGACGCGTCCCTTGACCTTGGTGCCATTGAAGGGTGACCAGCCCGCCCGCGTTTTCAGCTCATTGTTGCTAATTGTCCACTCCTCGTCGAGATCGATCTCCACATAGGTCTGCGGCTGCTCGGGCAGATTGAAGATTGCCCGCGGATTGCGATAAAACTTTCGCTTGATATCCTCCAGAGTCAGTCGACCATCGTGAACGGCATTTAACAGCAGCGGCAAGATCGTCTCCAGGCCAGGGAAACCGGGTGGCGGCTGTGGCGATTGCTTCTCGGCGAGCGTGTGCGGCGCATGATCCGTGGCAAACACATCAATGTACTCCATGTGCTCCCAGAGCGCCTCCTGATCCTCCGGCGAGCAGAGCAGCGGTCGCACCTCCGCCATGCCAGCGCCCAAACGCTCCAAGTCCCGTGTGCTGAGGAACAAATGATGCGGACACACCTCACAGGTGACACGCATCCCCTTCTCCTTGGCGGCGCGTATCAGCTGAATCTCCTCCTTGCGCGCCACATGACAGATGTGCACCGATCGCTCCAGCAGATGCGCCAGCATTATAACGGCTGCCATGCTCTGGCGTTCGGCATGGCAAACGATGGGCGCCCGCTTTGGCCATCGGGACAGATGACGCTGCCAGGCGGCCATATCGCTCAGCCTCAATGTGCCATACGTATCGTTGAGGTACATCTTCAAGCCGCACGCCTGCGTCGCCAGCTCGTGGGCATTTTCCCAATTGGTATCCGAGGCGCCCAAATAGAGGGCATAATCGCACCGGGCACCGAGAGTGGCCAGCTCCCGGAACTGATTGAACGTCTCGCGACCGACAATTGCCGGATTTGTGTTTGGCATTGCACAGACCATTGTAACGCCACCGGCAAGCGCTGCTGCCGTACCGCTGGCAAAGTCCTCCTTATGGGTGGCACCCGGTTCTCGCAGATGCACATGGACATCAATGAAGCCGGGCAGCTTCACAATCCGACGGGATGTCATGCAATCCGTGTGCGTCTTCATGCCGGGATTGCGGCCAGTGATCCGCATCGATTCCACCAAAAGCTTTGTGCACTTCACATCGGTCACAAGCGGTATGGAATAGTCGACAGCCAGGCGACGTGTCCGATAGCCATGGGTCATAAATGAAGACACCCTAGACAAAAATATTATTAAAATTACAATGATTGATTACTTAAGGACTTATACAAAAAACTGAAGCCCTATTTGTAATCGCAAACTTAAATCAAATTTATCTTCATTAAGATATTAAGATAAATAAAATTTAAGTTATGAAAAGCAACTTTTACTGTTTATTTTAGTTAGTTAGGCAGTTCAAGTTCAATAGTTTGAAAAATATCACGTTCTTTATGAATACATAGAGTGAATAAATGTTAAAAATAAGTCTATTAAAATACTCGTTTCACTGAAGCAAAAAAGTCTACAATAATAATATGCATTTTTATACATATTTAATATGTAAAAAATCTTGTTTCAAGTGGATCATTTCTTAACTCGAATTTTAAAATAAATTGTTTATAATAATTAAAATATTGAGATTTATTCGACGTTCAGTTTCAGAGCTTGACGTTCTAAATTTTAGTTAATGGATGCGAGACAATTTTGTATCTGGCTTTAGTTTGGGCAGTTCGAGTTACCTAAATTATGCACACAAAGTAAGAGAGAATAAAATGTACAAAAAAAAAAAAAACGAATCTTAAAATACTCATTGCAAAATTAGTTAGACTAAGATAGGTGCGTCCCTTGTGGACGCATGCCAATTGCATACCTGCGGACTCCGCCGCCGCGCATGGGCAGATTGATGACAAGATCGAACTGTTTGTTGGCCAGAAACTCCGCCAAATGTTGTAGTTCACCGTTGATATCATCGAGTGTTGACTTATCGAATGTCCACTGTACGGACTCCACCTGCAAGTAGAATAATATACAAAATTATACAGGGGCATCGGTTAGCATTTGGTGGATGGGGGACGGACAAGACCACACCCAGGAGGCTTCAGTGATTTGTCTTTGTTTGCCTAGGCCACATAAAGATATCGGCACTTTACGGACCTACATAAAAATTCACTTGTACTATTTGGAAAATAATACCGACACCAAATAACATCAACACCAACAATACATTGTAATGCGGCAACAATTGCACAGTGAGCCCAGCTGATCAATCTATTCACACAGGGCCTTCCATTTGGGAACTGGGAAAATGTTTCTATCAGTAAACTGAAATCGGCTCAGTTGTAGTTTCATCATAAAACCAGATTGTTAATTTGAGTTGAAGGCCGCCGACGACGAGATAAAACATTATAATATAATCCATATATGACTAGAACAGGTCAAATAGCTGCATCAGCAAAAGTGCTAATGAAAAAAATCCCCTTTGGTTATTTGAAATGAATTTTATGTATTTTTTATACGATCTCAAATATGTAATAAACAAGCGAATATTTATCGTTTCATTGTACAACTAACTTGCTCCACTGTGCAGTGGAGTACGGAGCCATCTTGCTCTTCCCTTGTCTCTGTATTGCATTGCCGTGTTTACCTGGCCGAGTGCTGATAACGGCCAGCCGGAAGCGTAGGAAGAGTTGTGTTGATGATGATGTTATCAACAGCAACGACAACGACAGCGACAACGACAACGACATCGACAACGACGTCGACATCGACATTAGCCTTGTCTTGGAAATAGAATTCGATCAGTTCGATCGATATCAGAAAACAAAGGAGGCAGTCAGATAATTGCAGCAGTTGCGCGCGCTGTTGCCCAAGCTGAACCATCCTCGACAACGACAATAACAACTATTTATGGGTTGTGACTGGTCCAAGGCGCTGGACAGCGATGTGCAAACCAATACGTTGCAGCAGCTGCAGGCGGCGGAGGCGACGCCGCGTGCCAAACTGCGTCGCCGCCAGGAGAAGAAGCGTCAGCGCCAATTGGCCAAGCTGCAAAAGCGGAACGCGCGAAAGCGGCGACATCAGCAGACGGTCAGCGGAGGCGACTCCCGCTGTGGCAAAGCCGTCAATCGATTGCCACGTGGCAGCGTTAGTCTACGTGGCAGCCACAATCTGGCGCCGCAGCTGCGACTGTTTGGTGGCAGCAACGGAAGCAGCGCCACCGAATGCGTGAGTGCGTTATATGCCCGCACCCTGGAACAGCTGCGAGAGGAGCATCAGCGCACCATCGAGCACAAGACACGGCATCAGCTGGAGCGGCAGCTGCACACATTCCTCCTGAATCAACTGCTGCTCGGCATGCAGTTCTTTGGCCACTTTGAGCACGAGATGGCTGCCATCGATGAGCAGCTGCTGGCCAGGCAGCGCAACTCTGCCCAGACACTAACCGAGCACAGTCTCCTCCATGCCAGCGCCATCGATGAGGCAGTGGCCAAGCGGCTACTCTTCAATCCCACGTAAGCCATTCCTTACTCCATTTCTGGTACTCAATTTTCATGTCGAATTGAAACTGAATTTATGGGCAACTTAGGAACAGCGGAACTATTGAGTTTTAAGAATATAATTCAAATGTTTGCTGTAGATTGCCTCCTCTCGAATGACTGCATATAGAAATGAGTCCAGCAAGTTGTGTTTATGAATCATTCGAATTCTTAGTTCTTATCTTACTGCTGATCACTGCGACAGATCGATTAGAAAGGGACTCCTCCTGGCAACTGCCGGGTAGATGAGTCCCCAGCTTCTTTCAAATTAGTATTCTTAGATAATAAGTATTCTTATTAATGAAATATATAAATCCATCTGTCCACAGAGCTGGGCCACAGCGTCAGTTTGGCGCCACGTCGGGAAAGGCCCATTCGCCGCCACAGCCGCTGCAGAGGATGCTGACCTATGTGGTGTTCGATAACGTGGATGTTGCGCGGGCGAACGATGCCAACTATGATTCGATAGCCGCACTGTGCAAGGTACTGCTGGAGACGGACTACTACAATACGACACCCTGTCGCCGGCAGTATGTACGGCTGCTGGAGCAGAGTCGTTGGTTGGGCTATGTGCGTCTAAAGTTGCGCGAACCGACGCCAACGCAGCAGCAGCGGCGCATTTCGAGCCCAAGCAGTCCCAGCAGTGACGAGGGAGGTGACATTGACACTGGTGTCTACACAGATGGCAGTTCCGGTTATAGCACTGGGAATGGAACTGCCGCCAGTTTGGCATCCGGCTCTGTAGCTGGTAGCTGGCGTGAGGGTGACTATGATCATGTGTATATAGCTCGCTTGAACACACAGCGGCCAATGGATGAGCTAACGCTTAAGCTGGAGCGGGATGCACTGCAGCGTAATGTGCTGCCCGAGGCATGCGTCTGCCGTTTGGCCAGCTGCCTGCCTGCCTGGCTGGAGCAGAGCGATGATGACGACGACGACAACGAGGACGATGATGATGATGATGATGATGGTGGAGATGACGTGAACAGTGGCAGTGATGCAGGGGCAAAGGATCAGCAGGACGAGGATCAACAGCAGCAGCGAACAGAGAGCAATCGGAGCGGATATGAAACGGTGCAGATATTGAGACAGTGCCGCGTGGAACAGCATCGACGTCGTGCTCTGCTCCAGCAATGCTATCTAAGCTCAGAGCAGTTCATGAACTATTTTGGTGAGTTGCTGCGCCAACAGTTGGCCCCGGAGCTGGGCATTAGCCAGAAGCAGCTGTCTGCTGGCAGCTATCGCGGCTGCACCATTTATACGGCGACGGAGGAGCTGGTGCCCGCCATTCATGTGCCGCACACCTGGCCGGATTGCGCCTTTGAGTTCAATTTGCGCGCCCGACCACAGCTGACGAACGTCCACACGGGCGACAAACAGGAATGGCCGACGATGCTGATGCGCAAGCGGATCCAAACGTTTGGCTACCATGTGGTGCCAGTGGGTTATACGCCCAAGCGTTCGCGCAATCCCTTCCGTGAGCTGGAGTGGCGCATTGTCTTTCCGCAGGCGGAGCTGTATCTGGAGCGGCAGCTGACGCGCATGCAGCTGAAGGTGCTGATGCTGATGAAGGCACTGGTGCGCACCTTCATGAACGACAAGTGCCAGGCAATGGGTCACATCATGGAGCAGCTGCGCACGCATCTCTTCTGGCAGTGCGAGCGGCACAGCAACGATTGGCCAGACGAGTTCCTCGGCGAGCAGCTGATACGCTTTGTGCGCACCTTCGCCGACTGTTTGGCCAAGAAGCAGCTCAGCGACTTCTTCATTGAGCGGCGCAATCTGTTCGAGCATGTGCCAGAGGATGCACTCATGGAGCTGCGCTCGATTATGGCGGGCATTGCCGAGCAGCCGCTGGTACATCTGCTGCAGGCGTTGCGCAATCTGCAGCATGCGGATGACTTCTATCCCAAGCTCAACTATGAACGGCTGCTCGAGAATCTGGTCACGCCGGACTATCTACAGCTGCGCAGCTGGGCAAAGTTTGCACGCACCCAGCTGCCCGCCGTCAAGCAGGAGCAGCTGGAGCAGTTGACGGCTCAAGTGGAGCGTCGGGCGAGCAGTGCTGAGGGTCTGCTGGGCATGCGCATGCATCAGGAGCGGACGCGCGGTAAACTGCGCCGCAAGACACATATGTTGCGGGCCCAGCAGCTGAAGCAGCTCGCCGAACAGCGACGCTGCTCCGAGGACTCGTTGCATGCATGCCGGGACATGCCGCTACTGATGCGACGAGCATCGCAGACATCGCAAACGTCCAGCCGGTCATCGATTAAATCGGAGGGCAGACCGCAACTGAACGATGGCATTGAGATACTGAGGCGGACCAATCTGCTCGAGCTGCTGCTGGACCACATGCTGGCCATGTTGGCCAAGGCAGCGGAGTTTCGCAATGCCCAGCATGTCCAGCTCTATTTGGAGCACTCGCAGCGTCTATGCCGGCTCTATCAGCAACTGGGCTGCACCCAGTATGCCAAGTACTATGCGGAAGCACTCTGCCAAGCGGCCAGCGGCTTTGAACGGGCCACAACCCGCTGCAGTGGCAACAGTAACACAAATCCCTCTCCCAGTCGCAGTGGAAGTCCCAGTCCCAGCCTCAGAGTCAGCGTCAGTTCCAGTTGCCACTCAAGTCCCATGCGACGCAAATCGCTCAAGTTCGTGGAGCATGTGGTGCAGATGCACACGGGTGATATAATGCCACTGCAGAGCGGAAGCACTGCAACGCTAAGCACGACCAGAAGGAGGAGCTCATCCGCACTGACGCTCAATGAGAATGACATCGCCATTGTCGATGCACAAGTGGAACCGGTGGCAGAACCAGTGCCAACCACCAGCACAGACACTCCCACCAAGGAGGTCAGCCAATTGCTGGGCACGCTAATGCAGCGTCTGCAAATCGATCCGAGTGCACTGCAAACGATTAGCACCAAGACGGAGCAACTGTTGCAAACGCTGGCCCCGGAATCAAGGCGCGACGATCTGCGCGAGATGCTCAAGCGCAATACGCAAAAGCTGAAGAGTGCCTTCAATTAAAACGACAATTGGAAAAACACACACACATATTACACAGAGTCATTTCCAAATTACGGAAATGCGTTTTTATCTTTCTTCATTTGAAGTCACGTCTCTCGTCGAGCTCGTAGTATCCACTTAAGTATCATTGAGATCAAAGCAATCAAAATAACCCTTCAGAGCATGTCCGATAAGCTACTTTTGTCCGCTTTCAATCTTGATTACTCGTGTAATCATGTATTATATATGTATATATATATATATGTAGTCCGATCATAAGCCCAAGTTTTTTCATTGTTAATATGGATCTCTCGTTGTACATTCAAATAATACAAAACTATTCATTTTTATTTTTACACTTCAAATGTGCTATTCGCTGGCTGCAGATCAAGTAGAAATATATCGGAGTATATAAAAATCAGACAAAAAACACTTGACCAAATGTATTTATATTAATTTTTCTATTACGAGCAATGCAAATAAAACAATCTAATAAATGCCCTCATACTTTTTATTGCACAATCTAAAATCTTCTTTCACTATTTACGAGGCTTCTACTCTCTTCAAATACGAGTTCATATTTAACTACAATTAAGAATTTACGAATTCACAAAGTTCAAGAATTAAAAACGATCAACATTCTATTTTTGTCAGTTCAATTTGGAGTATTTATTATTGAAAAGCAAATAAAAAATGAACACAGTTCAGATTGCAAGCCGACTAAACTGATCAAGAACAGTTTTATATACACATTTGCATCTTTATGGTTAACGAAAGCGAACTTTAACCTTAGCCAATTTTTGTCAATTATCAGTGAGCTACAGAGTCTCTCAATTTAGAACTGTCTCATGCAGTATTTATGTTGTACTCTCTCCCGAAAGGGGAAACGGCTATATTGGGTTTCTTCAAAAACGTATATGTTCCACAATTTAAGGGATGAGAAATCATTCAATTTTGGTAAGTTGAATTACTAATCATATTTCAAAGTTGTAGAGTCTTATAGAGTAATCCTTACCACACCAAGAATGGTCTAGCTGGGTTCAATACAATAACTGTAGAATTGTATATATGTTGTACTCACATCAACGCCGTGCTCCGCATAGAAGTCACCGGTGCCCATAGAGGCGTACAGCTTGTAGCCCATCTTGGCCAGATCCCGTATGGAGGACAGCAGCTCCATTTTGTGCTAAATCAAAATTGAGAAATTTCCAATATAAAATGCTGGACAGGCACAGGACACATATGACACAAAAATGGCCAACGCACGCACCTTGAAGCTGCCAATCGAGAGTAGGATGGCATTTTTTGGTATCTGGAAGCCCGTAGACATCATGGCCTTTAGGTAGGCCTCGTAGTGGTTGTCACCAAAGCAGGCAACCTCACCGGTGGACGCCATCTCCACGCCCAGCTGCACATCGGCGCCGGCCAAGCGGGAGAAACTGAACTGTGCCACTTTGACGCCAACCTTGCCGACACCGTGAAGCACATCGATGGGCTCCACGGCCATGCCAACAATAGCACGGGTCGCTGTTGCCACAAAATCATGATCCAGGGTCTTCGATACGAAGGGGAAGGAGCGAGAGACGCGCACATTGCACTCGATCACCTTGAGCTCGTTGTTTTTGGCAATGAGCTGCATGTTGAAGGGCCCAGTCACATCCAGGACGCTGGCCAGATCGCGTGTGATACGCTTGATGGCCTCCAGTGTTTCGTCATTCAAGTCCTGTGGCGGAGTGACCAATGTCGCATCACCGGAATGTACGCCAGCATTCTCCACATGCTCGGAGACGGCCATGCACAGGATTTGTCCATCGGCCGCAACGGCGTCCACATCGATCTCCTTGGCTTCGGTAAGGAACTTGGATATGACAACCGGATGTTCGCGACTCACCTCAGAGGCGGCATTCAGATATGTTTCCAGATCTTGATCCGAATATGCCACATTCATGGCCGCACCGGATAGCACATAGGAGGGTCGAACCAGACACGGATAGCCCACCTGCTGGCAGAACTCAATCGCCGACTGGAGATTGGTCAGCTCCTTCCACAGCGGCTGCAGTATGCCCCTTCTGTCCAGCATGCGTGAGAACTTGAAACGATTCTCGGCACAATCAATCGATTCGGGTGATGTGCCCAGCACCTTGGCCTGCTGGCGATGTAGATCCATTGCAATATTATTTGGCAGCTGGCCACCCATCGAGAGTATGATGCCATCGGATCGCTCCATCTCATAGATGTCCATGACAACCTCAAAGCTGATCTCCTCAAAGTACAAACGATCGCACATATCATAGTCGGTGGATACCGTTTCCGGATTATAGTTAATCATTATGGTCGATTTCTTCAGATTGCGCAGCTCCCGCAAACAGCCGACGGCACACCAATCGAACTCCACCGAGGACCCAATGCGATAGACACCCGAGCCGACGACTATTGTGTGTCCACCCGGAAAGTGGATGTCGTGCTCCGATGCATTATATGTGTTATACAGATAATTGGTGCTCGCTGGCCACTCGCCAGCAACGGTATCGATCTGCTTGACAAATGGTCGAATGTTTTGCTCCAATCGCTGCTGACGCACCGCCAGCTCCGTGCTCTTAATGGCCATGGCGATCTGTTTGTCAGCGAATCCCATACGCTTGGCACGGATTAGGAGGGCGGATGTTAATGGATTGCCAGCCGACTCCAGTTCGCCATAGAAGTCAATGATGTGCTGCAGCTTGTGGAGGAACCAGCGATCGATTTTTGTCAACTCATGCAGCTCCTCAATGGACATGCCGGCCTTGAGGGCAGCGGCCAATACAAATGGCCGTCGATCGGTTGGCTCCGATAGCTGATCCTTGTCAACGGTCGCCCTATACGGATCAAAGCCATGGACATCGCCGTCGACCATGCGCAACGCCTTCTGGAATGCCTCCTCGAAGCTGCGACCGATGGCCATCACCTCACCGACACTCTTCATGGAGCTGCCAATGTGCTTGCTGACGCGCACAAATTTGGCCAGATCCCAGCGTGGTATTTTCACCACACAATAATCGAGACTGGGCTCAAAGCAGGCAGTCGTATTCCCCGTCACCGAGTTGCGTATTGCCGGCAGTGGTTCACTCAACGCCAGCTTGGCGGCCACATATGCCAGCGGGTAGCCAGTTGCCTTGCTGGCCAGCGCCGAGCTGCGCGACAGCCGAGCGTTCACCTCAATGATGTAGTACTGCTCCGAGTGGGGGCATAGCGCATACTGAATATTGCACTCGCCGACAACGCCAAAATGCCGGATCACCTTCAGTGCGGTGCTGCGAAGCATTTGATATTCGCGATCCGATAGGGTTTGCGATGGCGCCACAACAATGCTCTCGCCGGTGTGGATGCCCAACGGATCGAAGTTCTCCATGTTGCAAACGGTTATGCAATTGTCGTAGGCATCGCGAACCACTTCGTATTCGACCTCTTTCCAGCCCTTAAGCGACTTATCCACAATCAGCTGACGGGAATGGGCCAGTGCCTGTTGAGCCAATATCTCCAGTTCCTGCTCATTGTTGGCGAACCCGGAGCCCAGGCCACCCAGCGAGAAGGCGGCGCGTGCCATTACCGGATAACCGATACGATTGGCTGCCTCGATTGCCTCGGCAACCGTATAGACGGCCTCCGATGGTGCCACCTGTTCGCCAATCTCATTGACACGCTGCGCAAACAGTTTGCGGTCCTCGGTCGCGATAATCGATTGGATGGGTGTGCCCAGAATACGGACATTGTATTTGGCAAAGATGCCGGCACGCTCCAGTTCGACGCCGCAATTGAGAGCGGTCTGGCCACCAAAGGTGAGCAGAACGCCATTTGGTCGCTCCGATTTGATCACCTGTTCAACGTAGTCGGGCGTCAACGGTAGAAAGTAGCACTTGTCCGCCATACCCTTGGACGTTTGCACTGTGGCAATGTTGGGATTGATGAGCACCGTCTGTATGTTGGACTCGCGCATCGCTTTGATCGCCTGCGACCCGGAATAGTCAAATTCACCGGCCTGGCCAATCGATAGGCCGCCGGAGCCCAATATGAGCACCTTGCGCGGCCTCGGCTGCGGATCGGGTTTGGCGGCACGCAAATGACGCTCGATCAACTGTGGCACGCTCAACGGCGACGACGATGTTGACGAGAACTGGCGAATGGCATCAAGAAAGACATCGAAGAGGAACTCGGTGTCCTGGGGACCAGCATGATGCTCCGGATGGAACTGAACCGAGAAATACGGTTTGCTGCGATGCACAATGCCCTCGTTGGTGCCATCGTTGGCATTGACAAACAGCTCCTCCCAGTCGCTGGGCAGTTTTTCCAGATCGACGGCATAGCCATGATTCTGTGACGTAAGCAGACAACGTCCAGTTGGGCGATGCAGACAGGGCAGATTGTGGCCACGATTGCCGTACTTCATCTTGTAGGTGTTGCAGCCAATGGCCGATGCCAGCAGCTGATGGCCCAGACAGATGCCAAAGATGGGCTTATTGCCCTCCAGAAGGACACGCTTCACATGCTCCACAATCAGGCGGCAGCTAGCAGGATTGCCCGGTCCATTGGACAGGAAGAGCGCATCATATTGATCCGGCTGCAGTTTGCCGCTCCACGGCAGCAGTTGCACGGATGCGCCACGCTGCAGCAGACAGCGCAGCTGGTTCAGCTTCAGGCCGCAATCCATGATGGCAATGCGGATACCATTCGCTTGCGGCGACTTGTACAGCATCGGCTCCAGGATGGAGCACTCCTCGGCCAGGTTGCGCTCATTGGGATCGACAAAGGGGGCACGCAACTGTTGCTTGTTTGGCTCCGCGTAGACAATGCGTCCGAGCAGGCTGCCCTGTTCGCGCAGCTTCTTGGTTAGGGCGCGTGTATCGATGCCGCTTATGCCGGGCACCTTGTGCTCGGCCAGCCACTGGGACAGCGTACGCTGTGAACGCCAATGCGAGGGCGTCTTGCATATCTCGCCGACCACTAAACCAGCAATCTGCACCGCACCTTTAAACCATTCAAAGTGCTCCGGCAATCCAAATTCGTCCATTTCGCCGGCATCGGGCACTCCATAGTTGCCAATTAGGGGATAGGTCAGCACCAGTATCTGGGCGGTATAGGAGCGATCCGTTAGCGCCTCCGTGTAGCCAACCATGCCCGTTTGGAACACAACCTCGCCACTTGTTGCCGCACCCTTTGCACCGAAGGAGCGCCCAGGCATCACTGTACCATCCTCTAGCACCAGATAACAATCCGTTGACGACATTTCGCTGCAAAACGGAGAGCAAATAGTAATTAACTCAGGCAAATTTTATTATTAGTTTGAATTTAGACTTGAAATATTGATTAGATTAGATCTGCATAAATCCCAAAAGTAACAGTTGTTTCTTGTTTATATTCGAATAATTGATGCACACTCATTTCTGAGCCATAACTGCCCATTCTGCAACTTTCACACGCAGCCAACAATAAACAGGATGGCAAGCTGGGAATTTGTATATTTTTGTTGTCAATGCTCAAATTACAATGCAATTCTTTTAAATGATAATGAACATCAAAAGTTTGTTGAATTCTGAGTGTGGATTAGAATTCAGATCAACAGCATTTTTAGAGAAATTAAAATGCTACATTTTGAAAATGGTTAATAACGACTTGGAGAGAATGGTAATCTGAGAGATAGAGAAAGGGAGAGAGAGAGAACGAATATCGCCAGGAAATGAAATCAAATAAAAAAAAATAAAAGAGTAATTTTGAATATTAATCAGAAATAGTAGATAACAAGTTAGAAAGTTCTTGTCTAGACAGCTCGGCTAGGAGATAACATGAGCTGATAACCAGCTTCCAGATGCATAGTTGACTTCTTGCCGTTCGTACTTCGTTTAATATGAAAACACGTGAAATGATCGATTTAAAGAAATAAAGTGATCTGCCAATGGTACAGAAGAATTGATACACTAGCTATAGGTTGTATAGTCAGCGATATTGCGGCAACTAAAATGTTGTATGCATTGAATGCTTATCATTTCTCGATAAATCTATGTATATATATATGTAAACGTATTTTTACAGTGTAAATATTGTTATCGGTGTGCATTACTTGGAACACGTCGTTGCGATCGGGATCGCGGTTGTTCATCATGATAGGTACTCCGGCACAATTGATATAAAGACATTATTTTTTGTTTGTTTTATTATTATGATGAATGATAAAGCCGACTAGCAACATATTCAGATTGAATTGAAAATTGATAATTGTCTTGTGGAAATTCATATTTTTCGTGAGACATTCAGGTGGAGATGTGGAGAGAGTTTTATTTCGATATATGTACATGTATGTGGCACAGAGCAGAAATATTAAAAGTTGTAACGAACGTTTTATTTATTTTTTATTTATATTCCGAATTTGAATTGAACTGTGTGTTCGTCATTCACAAATATTCATTGCGTGTTGTTCGAGAAAACAGCGGATAAACAAGTCAACTTATTGCACTTAAGTCCGGTTCTGGTACAGAAATACCCATTTACGTTTTATGTTTGTATTTCTATTTGTATTTGCTTTTGTATGCTGTGCGTGAGATAAATGTTGGTTTGAGCAATAGGTACAGCTTTCAAAGATCTGCACAGAAGTCGTTTACAACCCAAAATGTATTTGATTTAATCAAACATACTCAACTCCAACACTTACACTTGCGTTCGTTTTTGCTCGTCCTTTAGAGTCTTAATTCGCCCTTGTGCGTTAAATTTGTCAATTGCTATTTGGCATAAATCTCGCTGTTTTGCCTGTCTGCGTTCCAGTCGCACGTGTGCACGTGTTTTCTGTTATTATTGTGCGCAGCGCTGAGAACCTTGGACAGCAGAACTGGCATTGACAAAGCAAGTTGACTGAATGAACCGAATCATGTTGAACTGCGACTACCAAAGCCAAGCGCTGCTTGCGACGCAATATAACCCTGTGCTTTTTTCAGATTCGAAATTGTTACTTATCACTGGCAGAGGCATTTTAAAATTGGCATTTTAACGCCTCCCAAAAACAAATGTTGTTTAGATAAAAATCTTGTCGAATGTATATTTGTTTATATGCCGATAGTTCCTTAAAGAATTCAGCGTTATTTCATTGACAACATTCAATCAGGTGTCAAAAAGAGTTTTTCCAACCGGCAAACTGTAGAAAAAACAAATCAAGCATTTAGCCGACAAAATGTAACTCAACACTGACTGTTGCATTATTAATGGCACTACGCAGCAGATCAGACCGAAATTGTACAGAGCCACTCCTCACTTTACAGACGAACTCCACAGTAAAAAAACTTATCGATTGGTCAAGTCAATTTCTGGCTTATGCATTTCAAAACTAACAGTTTTTTTTTGGGTTCCAAACAAATTGTAATTTATAGTTATAAGCCATATAGTATTTGAATATGGGCAAATATCATTTCTTTTCTATGTGTTAGATGGACGACGAATTTATTAGGGCTACAACCTCTAAGAACAAAAAAAAAAGTGCGTGAAAATTAAGTCTAGTCCTCTGTGGAGGATTCGCCAGTGAATATTAAACTGTAACCAGTATTGTCTACGTCCCAGCTGCTTGCTTTATCTTTTATCAGGCGTATTATTCTAAGCACATCGGGTTTTCCCGAGTTTCTCTCAATCCATCCATAACCATATCTTTTACAGAGGATAGCACTGAAAACGGATTAGACGATGGCACATATCAAATATATTTGGATGCTCAGGATGAGGATGACAATGAGGCATTGGTCACATTTCTAATGGGAGTGAATTGCGATTACTGTCCGCAAGCGATGCGAATCTTTTGAAATATCGTCGCGAACAAACCATGCTACAGTTTACAGCAGCACCATTTGTTTATGAATGTTGCCGATTTTGCCGATACGAAGTGCACTATCCCACTGTATTCATTTACTCTTATTTTGCTCTTTTCTTTTTTTATTTACTACCAATTTATTTACATAATACGCGAGAATTTAATTAGATATTCTAAAAACTTTAGGCAATAGATTGATCTGTTTTCTATTCAGTACTCAGCAGCCAATGTGTGTTTGAATTTAATACACCCTGCACTTATTAAATGTGGGCATAAGGGAAGCATCTCCGACCCCATACAAAATAATTAACTGACTCTCATTAAGAAATGTGCATTTCAAATGCATATTTAAAGCGAATTCCAGAGTGTGTAAAATAATTTCGTAAAAGGAATGCATTTTAATCTTAATTATCATATCACAAATCATTTATGTCATTGGTTTATTTTAATGAATTAGTTGCAACTTTGTTAAATCACAAATTATACCAATTTATTGAAAATAAAGCCATTCAAGATGACTTTTCTAATCGAGGAATCGTCAGCTTAGGTTGATCATTCTTTTGTTTTTATTAGGCGATGTGTTTTGCAAGTTCGAATACGTCAGCATTTCAATGTCAATTTGAAATTTGGCATTAAAAGTTTACATCTTGATCGATCGTATAAAAACCAAACATGTAGTTTAATTTTGCAAAATAATATTGCCGTATTTATTTATAAGGTAAGTATGTATGTATATACATAAATATATATTGTATATACTAATATACGTCATGTGCCTGTGTCATACATATTCGTGTAAATGTAAATTATTTGTATATATATTTATACATATACATATATAAATATATACGTATATATATATACGTATGTACATATGTGTATGTAGTACAAAAGCATAACAAATAAATAACAAGAAATTATTTAATACATATTACTTTCGCATATGTGTGTGTGTAATATATGTTTAAGGTATTAGGACAACGCATACATTTTGGTCTACTTGGAGGGGCCTACCAGATAATAATCGGGGCCCCCTTTTGGTTAATAACGCACAGGGAACAAAAGATATAAATACATTGCAGGCTTTTCGAACAAAACTAAAAAAAAAAAATGTATATATATATAGATATAAAAAATAAAAACGACGTTATTTGAAAAGTTAAAATCATAGCTAAATGCGCTGAGTGAGAGTTGAAAACGAATTAAACATTTGTCGGCGCATCCATGCCACAGATGACGGACTTGACGACCGCGGCGGCGGAGAGTGATGCATAGTTCTGCCATTTGCGCGTCGACATGCCGTCCTTGTAGTCGGCTATGCCCTTGACAAGAATGAAGCTCTCCCGACAGTTGCCAATGATGCTGTCCAGTACGCTGCTCATTTCCACATCGGTGGCAAGCAGTCCAAATTTGCGGGCGAACTTTGTGCGAGGATCGTCGCTGCGCACCAGGTCCCGGCCAGATCCAATCGGTCCCAGATGGAGACGGGGTCGCGTCACGCCATTAATCTCATCAGCGGCAATCGGATGGGCCACCTCGATGACCTCGTTGTTGCCAATGCTCATAAACAGTTTATCCGTTTTGGCGTCCGGCCGCCCAAAGTCGCTGTCCGTCTTCTGGGCAAGCGTTTGCTGTGCATCGCCCAAATACGTCTCCCATGGCCGCTTTAGCTCCATGTTTGCCTGCAGACTCTCAGCGATTTGCTGCAGCGAATCGTTGACGGGGAAATATGTTTTGACATCATCGCCGCTCTTGTATACATAGACATAGGGTTTCTCCTTGCTGTACAGGATGGAACGATAGATCGATAGATTAGCATTGCTTACTGATACTCTTTGGTGGACTCACCTGTTGATAAGCGCACGCTGCTTGTCCACATACGAGATGACAACGTCGCCGAGCCGCACATGCTTCTTGTAGTCCGTATAGTGAGGAACGCCGCCAGCCACGCCCACAATGAAGACATAGTCAACCTTTTGGAATGTGCCCAGCAGTCTGGTTGTCGTATTGCCTGTCGCCGTCATTGCCTCCCGCGTGCTGCCCACCGATGGCAGCTTGGTGCTCACTATCCGATGTGCTCCAATGTTGCCCAAGGTATAAACATTCGATTCGCCTGCGGATTATATATCGCATAACATTAGTCAGCTGGAATTATAAGCATGGATCCATCCATCCATTCATCCATCAAACATTGTGGTCATATACATTTATATGTTTGCATGTATGAGATGTGTGTGTGTGTTGTGTGTGCTGTTTCTGGGTTTATTGTGGGCCATGTGCGTGACGACAACAATCAACAATGACAGGTAAAAAAAAAGTTGTGTTAAAAGTAAATGAAACCATTGGCCCATTCTTACAACCGATGAGAGACAACAACATTAACAACGAAACCAAAACACCTTAACTTTGACAACAAAACCAAACAATAGGCAATTTTGTCGCAACAATAATAACAAGAAAACATATATTTAAGGTCAAGTTCACAATTTGTGGCAACTGTTTGCCGCACTCGATTAAAAAGCTGTCGCCAGTATTATGATGATGACGTACAAACAAATTAAAGTAATTGTCTATATATATATACATATGTATCGAATTAGTATCCTCCAAAATCAATGAATTATTTCTTTGTATATTTTTTAAAGGTTTCCAAATCCGTAATAAAATTATTGTTATATATTGTTTTCTTTTCAACTTAGCCATAGATTTAATTACTGTACAAATATAAAGCAAAATCAATAAATTGTGTAGAAAATATATCCTTAAATTTGAATGATTTTCTTTCTTTTTTTTTTTTAAATATTTTAATTGAGTTTGTTTTTTTTTTATGAATTTAATTGAAAATATAAAAAAAATCTTGAAATGTATTCCAATAAAATTAAAAAAAATAATCAGATTGATTGACGGAATGTAAGATCGAGTTTTTGTTCTTTAACTGCATTTGATCTAAATGTAATCATTTTAGTATTATTATACAAGCGATTATTCAAATAAGTATATATAAAATATAGTAAATCTTATACTCAAAGCATTTGGAAATAACGTCAATCAATTTAACAGCGTTTTTAAAATTTCCACTGTTTTGAACACATTAATTGATAGTATACAGTTACATATATGGTATGTGTGATCTGTTAGATTGGCGAGAACTAGATTTGCGCAAATTGATATGAACTTGACCCCATCAGAGACACAAATTAGATTACATGGAACATGGTAGTTGCAATTGAAATGGCAATGTGTGTATGTAAATTGTCGGCGACTGACTGGGTGCTTACCAAATCTGCGTTTCTTTTTGGATTTTCTGAGTGAGTTCGTTAGATTGGGATCGGAATCTGTTATGTATTGATTTTGCGTTCGAAAATTAATTCATTCAATTATTAATAAATTTTCAGTTTTCGTGGGCGGGCATTACAGGGCAGGGCAAAGGTTGGCAAGCAAACAAATCATTCAACATTCGTTTTTTTTTTTTTGTTTTTTTCAAACCGTAACAGTTAGCGTACAAGAGAACGAGATAAATGAGAAAGAGAGAGAGAGAGAGAGAGAGAGAAGAGAGAATTTAGAGTGAGGCATTAGATAAATACGCTCACAGATCTAACGCACTGCGTGCCGGAATCGGGATCTATGCATTGGGGCACTTATGTGGCACCACCTACCGACTGTTGTGTAACGGACAAAAGTCTCCTTGTTCTCCAACATTGCATCCACGGCCAATTTCTCGCAATACTGTGCCGTTATAATCGCTATCGTTGGCTGCTTATTCGAGGCTATCGTCGGCATCTGTTTGACCACCTTGATTTCCTTGTCCTCGTGATGGATGCGCGTGTAAGCATTGTACTCCATCAACTTGATCAGGTTACGCTCCTGCAGCGATTGTATGACCAACAGCACATCCTGCTCGCTCCACCCATAGTCCCTATTCGAGTGGGCGATATATATAGAGAGAAAGAGGGCGTTATTAATGCTAATATTCACAACAAAAAAAATCAACAACAAATAAACAAACACACAAAAAACTTACTTGGCTAAATCTTCGGGCGAAACGGGATTGGGATAGGCCTGCTCAATCAGTTCAAGGACCTTCTCCTGTGTCAACGGCAGAGATTCAAATTGGGATTCGTCTAAGGAAACTGTTTGCCACCAGCAACAGGCACAGACAAAGACAAAGAGAAAGAGAAAGAGAGAGTGGGGATTTTTTTAAAAACACTTTGACGCATTTAATGGATGTAATATTTTTCGAGAGGCGTTAATGGTTAACTTAAGTAAGTAGGGGGCTGCGGGCGGATAAGGGGCAGGCTAGAGCTGTTAGCCGTTTACAATGGGCGCGGTTAGACTGTGGCTGTGTTAGCTGGGTTAGCAGCAGACGGCGCTTGCGTTAACTTAATGGCATTTTACCAGACAAATGGGGCACTTGAGGAGGAGCGCCTACTCCGGGGTACAGAAAGTCTGGCTGTGTTGCAGCATTCAAGGTCAATGCACTATGAACCGTTGCCACAAGCAAAGACAAAAACAAAAAAAAAAATGAACCACAACAAAAACAGTTTGACAGTAACTGCATCACCTCCCCAAACAGTTGAAGGGTCACTGGACAGACACATTTGTTTTTATTAAAGATGCGCTTTATGTTCGTTTTTAGTTTTCTTTTCATATATATTTTGTACTCAAACTCAGTGCGTTCTTTTTTTGTTTTGTTTTTAGTTTTAATTCCATAGACGAAGTGCGTGCGTTAGTAAAAAAAAAAACTATATATATAAATATATATATATATATATTTATATCGAACGAACGAACAAACAAAACAATGAACAGCAACAATTAAACAGAGACAAAACCACAAAGAACGCTCGTCAAAAGGCGAAAGTATTACAAAAAACATTTCTTCTTTTTTTTGAGAGCTGACCGCCTGGTTTGGTTTGTGGGTGTGGTTGTGGTGGTGGTGGTTGCGGCGTTGATTGTGGCTGGCGAGGATTAGTTGGCGTTAAAAGCGGAGATCAGTAGATCAGCAGAGAGCAGAGAGCAGCGATTCATTTGCGGCGGGCGCTCAGCTGCTCAGTGTACATGTCCAGCCAAATGGCCTTCATCAGATTGTCGCCATCACCTGTTTTCTTCTGCGCCAGAAGCGCCTCCTCAAACTTCCGATTGCAGTCCCCATAGCAGTAGATGATGTAGCCATCTCGCGCTGTCAGCACGCCGAAACCCAAATATCATAAGTGTATATACATATATATATATATATATATACACCAAATATCAGATAAACAGATCAAGAGAGCAAATAAGATACAGAGAGGGAGATATATATATATATATATATATAGATAGAAAGATAGAGATGAAACCAAAGAGATAGAGATAGAGAGAAAGAGAAAGAAAGAAAGAGAACGAGAGAGAGAGGGGGGAGAAATAGGCGAGGCTGAGTGTTGACTTACGTGGACGGGAGGGCGGCGCTGATGTCTCCTCCAAAATGCGCAGCTCGATCTCAATGGACTGTATCTCGGCATAGCCATGCTGCAACAGCTTCATTATCTTCTTGATAAACCCAACATAATCTGCAACGGACAAGCATAAATGAGAGCACGTTCTGCATGCATATATATATATATATATTATATACATATATAGATCACAACCAATTGCTACACTCTGTAGCTTAAGCTTTAGCTTTATGATCTCATTTAAATTGTATTCGTAATTAATTTTCATTTGTCTTCATATATATATATTTTTTTTTTTGTTCTCTTTTTTGGTCAGCTTGAACCAAGTTGACTGTTGCTTCGTTTAATTTTGTTGATAAAAAGTACTCATAGATATATTTTAATTCGATATACAATTAGAAGCATAAAGTTTGCTACGATTCTCTGCAATTTCAAAGTACTTGTTAGTATTTGAGATAGAGGACTGATCAGATATATATATATATATATATATATTTGTATTTGTGGGTACCTCTGGGAAAGTCCTGGGGACTGACGAGCTCCTTGAAAAAGTCCTGGGCTATGTGGGCCTGCTTCTCATCGTTGGTGAGCCAGTCGCGGAACCAGAAGCGCAGAGTGCGCGACTCCTGCGAATGTTTGCCCGTGTTCGCACTGACGAGGAAGACGCGAAACTCCAGGGAAAGGGCGGCCGCTTTGCTGGCGCTCTTTTGGCCGGCGACGGTGTCCTTGTTGATGATGATGCCGGTGTGATCGCCGCCAGCGACATGCACACGATCGTTGATCTCATCGATGAGCTTCCGTTCGATGAGTATAACGGTGCTGTTGGCAGTCTTGCCACGTGGCGTCATCACGACCTGCTCTGTGCGCGGCGGCGTCTGACTCCTCCGGGCAGCGTTGCTGTTCTGAGCCAAGTTGCTCGCATTTTGGCCCTCCGCTGTGACTGCGACACTTTTATTGTTGCTGTTGTAACTGTTGTTGTTGTTGCTGGCGGTGCCATTCGGCAGGGCACCGTTGCCGTTTGCTTGGCTCTTATTGGGCTTGGGCGGCGGCGGCGGTGGCGCCATCTGTGTCTGACTTCTGCGCCCTGACATATTAACCGATTTCGCCTAGCGATATCTGTTTGTTATTTTCTTCGTATTGAGGTTTTTCTTTTCCTTTTTTTTTGGTTCTTGTTTTTGTTTTTGTCTTTGTTTTCTTTTTTTCGGGGCGGCCTTGAGCCCAGCGTGTCGTATGGCCTGAAATGAAGGCACGAGTCAGTAAGAATATATTTTTGGACTTGACTTGCAGTTCGTGCTTCCAATTCGCACACTCAGCGAAAAGCGCTGACTTAAACGAAAATTATTTTTATTTAAATTTAAAAAATTAGTAAACCAAAAATAATTATGAAACACTCTCAAACGTTTTTGTGCTAAAAAAAAGTAGTGTAAGACTGTTCAGTTTTCAATTTTAAAAACGGCATTTTTCAATTCAAGCTGACTTAATTTTGTTTTTAAAATCAGAATTTCGTACAAAGTGTACAGAATGCACCACTTTATTTTGTTGAGTGCATTGAAATTTCCATATCCATATCCAATTGGCACGGTTTATTTGTTTGTCTGTCTGTCTGTCTGTTTGGGTGTCTGTTACTCTCTGGTCTTGGCAACGCGCCAAACAAATTTCGAATTCATAAATAATTGGTGTCATAAATTTTCTGCTCCACCTCCCTCCGCGCCATTACCCGGCCCCTTGCAACGTGCAACCACCAACACCAACCACCTGGCAAACGACAGCGACCCACTGACTTGCTTCTGGCCCAAAAAAAATAGAGCGAAACCAAGAAAATCAATAAGAATTTCGTTTCGCCAAGTGCATAGCTAGGCACAAGAAATAACACCACAACACTCCACCCCCCGCACCCAGCTAAAGCACCCACCCCTAAACATCCCGTAGAGCCAGCAATTAGAGTCAAAGCCATCCCTCCAACCCGGTCTTCCGGCCAAATGTCACCAAAAGTTTTTTGAACCCGTTTAGGCATTAGAGCAGAAAACTGCCCACAAATGGGGTTGCTGCCTGTCCACCCACTGCCCCCACCTTTTCCTTGACTGTTTGGCATCCGCTTTGGGTTCGTGCCAACGAAATTTGCATGAGGTAAACACAGAAGCAAACAGTTCCCAATGGGCTCCTGAATGGGGCACTGCGCACAGAAGGAAGAAGTCAACTAAACCAGGCGAATGAACCAAAAACCAACAACCAAACAGTAAGAGCCGAGGCTCAATAAACAGAAAGTAGGAACAAGAAATAAATTGCCGTCAATTTAAGATTAAGCACCTTTCAATCATACAGCATATATAATATAATTTATTTTTACATATTATTACTTAATCTTTATTATTTATTTCAAATTTTAATGGTTCATTTCATTTAAAATAATAATTATTATTATTAGTTTCTGTTCAATTCATTTATATATTTATTTAATGTCAATGTCAATGTAACATAAGTCCAAACAGAGTTAAAAATAAAAAGAATAAATGAAATTGAATTGTTAAATTAAAATAAAAAGAAAACAAATAAACATTTCTTATATTTCTGGGCATATTTAATTGCAAATTTGATCCAACATTTGTTACAGGCTTTCGGGATAACCCAGAAAAAACCAATCAGCCCAAAAATGTACTTTAGTTAGTATGAATTAGTCAAGTTAAGTTAGGCCAAGCACAGATGCACCAGTAAAGAAAATTGACTTCTGCATTAGATAAATCAGAATAGTTATAAAAAATCAAAGTATCTGCTTCAAGAAACTTTTACTAGCTGCCATTTGCTTTCAACATCAAATACATATTAAATATAATAATCTACTCATCCAATATAAGCCCAGCGATTATTGTCGATTATTTCAAAATATAGGGAGAAGAAAGAAAGTGTCATCCATTTCCTTAGGGATATCCATATACATAAATATATACATATGTATAACAATTCCCCATAGTGTTTTAGTTATTTAATCCATTTCGTATGTGAAGACAATTGTAGAGGAGACCAGGTCCCCACGGCAATAAGCCAACTAAGCGCTTCGAGTATAATATTCATCGTCGACATCGTCACAGACCCAGCCCTCTTAATTAGATTAAAGGGCATCTCCCTTGGCGCAGCTGCTTAAGGGCAACAGCAAGAACAACAACGAATAATAATGATAATAATAAAAAAGGGTGCACTCGAATTTCATGGCCGGAAATTATGTGCCGTCTGCACTTTCAATTGAAAGAACTGTGCGCACAGTTTGACGAGCACATACCAAAATGGGCATTCCAAACCCAAGCCCAAACCCAAACCCAAACCCAAACCCAATTGCAAATGCAAATGCAAAGTCCAATCCCAAAGCTGGGCCAAGCCTTTAACCCAGCCAAGCCAAGCCAAGCAACCAGCCAGCAAGTCAAACCACCCCATGCCCAATGCATTTCCTCACTTCCGCTGCGACTTTTGTAAACTGTAAGAAGACGAAGAAGAAGCAGCAGAGAGGAAAGAAAGTTGTTACGGTAAAGCGTAAAATTCCACAAGAAATGCATATATATGTATATATAGTGGGCCGATCCGACGGGGCGTTGTCGACGTCTTTCAAAATCAAATTGAAATTCCAATGCCAAATGCTTGGCGAAGCGTAACGCGTTACGTTGCCGGTGGGAGGGGGGATGCCGAGTGTAATGGGGAGATGGCAACATATTTGCCCTACCAACAACATAGAAGGAGTTATGGGTGAACGCATTGCCAGAGCGATAGGAAGAGCGAGAGAGAAGGGAGAAAGAGAGAGCGAGAGTAACGTGTTGTTTAACTGGCGACCCAAAACACATTTCATATTTAGGGGAAACGGCAAGACAGAGATGCACAAGGGGAGGCGGTGATGTGGCTACATTTCCGTTCGTTATACCCTGTAAAAATGTGTATAGAGACCGATTATGTATTGTAGCTGAACTATGCTCTATGCTCGATGCTGAACGACTGCTAGTGGACTTAATTTTTCCTGTCTGGCAACTCTAAGCGATCTAGCTGCCTGCTATGAAATGCCTTTTACACACTATAAACTATATGTATATATATATATATATAGAACTTTAAGCTGGTGAATTTATAGACTGCATTTTTGTGAAAAACTAGAAAGGCTTTTTTTTTTACAATAACTCGAATCAATGTTTTATAGCCTTTGAATAGGTTGATTAATGTTAAATATATAAATGCTATATAAAAAAAAAATATAAATAAAAATAACTTGATTGTTTTTTGGACAAGTATTAAAGAGGCAAACACACAAACTATATAGAATTAGTTAATTATAATTTTTAAATATTATTTACGTGGCATTAAATAAGCTTAAGTTGTATCCAGTGCAAGCATATCGACATTATGCCTCTTGTCTTGTTTATATATCGCAAATGCAATCCTAGCCCACACTACTACGTCGAGGAGCCCATTGATATAGCCCCCATGAGGTGAGCGAGGCAAGTTGCCACTCTGTCACTCAACTGTTTGCAACATTTCGCCGCTGGCTAAACAAAAAGTGGGCGAATGGAGGCCAAAGTCGCAATCGCAATCGCAGTCGCAGTCGCAGTAACAGTAATAGTAACACTCAGTCACAGTCAGAGTCAGAGTCACAGTCTGCAACCGCAAGATGCACTCACACAAAACACTACACGACCGCAAACATATCTCGAGGCCCATTAGTTGCGGTTTCCTGTTTCACATGTGGGCGCTGATCTGGCCGGGAGGAAAGGCCACAATAGAAGACAACTGTTTTGCATGTTGGTTGGAAAGCTCGACTGTTGGATGAAAACGAATTTCAACTGAATTCTGGTTGGCATGAATACGAATTCGAATCGATGCGGGAAGGGAAGAGATTCAAATTGACTTTTCTGTTTAAAATATAATAATAAATAATTCATACAATTACAATAGTAAGTAATAACCGAAATCACTTCAAAATCCATTCCTAATAATAATAATTAAGAAGAGTTTATGCCAGGAAATCAAACCGGATCGAAAATCAATTTCAGTTCCGGTTCTGGGCTTAAGTTAAGTTCGTGTAACGGTTTTGCTTCGATTTCTTGTTGAATTTCGGTTCGAGTTTTGGTTCTGAGTTTCAATCGGTTTATATAAAATATATACGGATATGGGTCATGATAAGCATTAACCAAAAGGGTATTGCATAGTGAGTCACTAAATTAAATTATTCAAGTTTTTTCTCTCCATAATTTTGTAGAAATTAAAGTTGAATATAGTTCGCACTTTTTTTGTTTGGCGTTTGTGCAAATTGTTCTTATCGGCAATGAATTTGCAAATGATCCGCTATTTTACTATGCAAATTTATGTATGTATGCAGTTAGATCTATAAATATGTACATAGAATGTATGTAAATACATTAAAGTGTTTCAAAAACAGCTTAAGAAAACAACATTAGCGAGCGAGCAAGTTCAAAAGCCAGCCGAAAATTGTTGATAAACAATAAAATGTACTTAAAGTATTCGGCGAACAGTTTCTATTGCGGAGAGTACAATGAATTAAGCAAAAAAAAACAACCAATAATAAACAAATGGTATAATCGAGAATAGCCTGGCAACAACAAGAAGATGACACGAAATATGAATGTGTCCGGGTCGGTGCTGCAGATATGTATATATCCGTATGTACATAAAAACTAACTTTGTTATGCATACATGCCTCATAAGTGTCTAAGTATACGTTTTTATGTATGTATGGATGTAGCAAGCAAAAAAGAGGCCGCAACACGCTTGCCACACTTGCTCAATCAGCGCTCGCTGGCCAGATGGTTGCGAATGCCGGTGGCCGGACGGGAAGGAAGCGGAGGAAGGAGGAGGAGGAGGAGGAGGAAGCTGCTGCGGCAGCCATCAAATAGCTGACCACCCACACTGCAGACAGTCACACACACTATACACACTACTATTCAGACACTCAGAAAAAAAATCGCCTTAAATATTTCTAAAATTTTGAAGGGTTTGCCCTAAATCGGCAATGGGGATTTTTTTTCTCTCTTTTTCAGAAATATTTTCCATTATCAAGAACATCATTTTCAAAAAGTAGAACTGCAAACCCTAATTTGTAGAAAAAATTCTTTCTTAAATTAAATAACAAGTAACAAAATTTACTTTTCGTGTTTAGCTCTCAGTGGGAAGTCATTCAGCTTAACTTCATGAATTTTACAAAATATTTAAAATGTTTCGAAATGCCAATGTTTAATAATAATAA